TTACGCGTCTGCTAGATGTTAATGTCATACACTCCTGCTCGGTCAGAATAGTGGGGCGTTGTCTACTGACACGTGGCACGTGAACCGTCACTCGCGACTGACACGTGGCTCTGATGGCGCCGTATTCTGAGCGATCATCTACGTGGGAGGACGTGGAAGCGGGACAGGGGAACCTCGTTACTGCCACAGTGGAGGAAGAACGAGCTGACGTGGCAGCCGACGCAGATGACGTGGTCAACCAAAAGGCACTCGTACGTGTTTTAACAACAGTCGCCAACGCTTCCCGCCCCCTTTTCCCCCTCACTCCCCACATTTCCCACCCACACCCTTCCTCCGCGGTTTGGAATCCCTCTCTAGACCATTACCGTTGAAATATCCTTTGCGTTGCTATTTTCCGCAGCGCATTCCGCCGGAACACCGTACGATGCGGTGCCATCGTTCCAAACCATCGTAGCCGTTGGTTTCGCACTAAATCAGCAGGCAGGCGCCCTAACGACGACGCTGCGGTCGTCGGGATTTGGAATGCCGCGCCTGGTTACCACCATCGCCTGCTCGCGGCATTTCAAACGTCGCAGAACGAGACACGCGAACGCAACGAAGACAGATGGAATTCCGAATTCCGCGACGTCCGAATCTTTAGGTGGCATTACTGCCTTCCAGGCGCCTCGGAGTGACTTTTGGGTTGACTCAAATGTCACCGCGGGATTCCGGATGCCGCGACATCCGGTTCTCATAGCATTACTGCTTTCCAGCCACCTCGAAATCTCCACTTTTGGGACGCGGAAGCTCTTCCGCTCCTTCCCCCCCCCACTCTTCCGCTCTCTCCGCTCTCTTCGCTCTTCCGCTCCCCCCGCTCTTCCTCTCTGTTAGAGGGCCCTACGACAGCAAGGGCCCTCGACGACCGTTTGACTTGGCAGGTCGAATGAAAGACCAAGACGAGCAGTCCAGCACCGACCCTATGATATGGCGATGGTTGCGTAGTGACGCGATGCGACAACGGCAGCACTAAACAGTCATTGCTGGGGTGGTGTTAGTCTAGGGAAATCGTGGGCATGCTTCTTGGGTGGTCTTGGTGGTTGTGGGTGATTCTCTGTGAGTCTCGCCATTTCTAGTTGTGCTGGGAGAATTGGCGAGCTCGGCATTGACTTCCCTGCTGAGTTGGGTTGGGGAGTTGACGAGGCGCGTTCGCTCACCCACACACCACTTTCGTGGGGTTGGGTTACTGCGCAGTGCCACGCCAACTTTGTGAAACCTTCCCGTAGCCTATATCTAGTTGTGTGTGTTTTTGTATTCATAGTTGATATTGCAATTCTACTTGCCCAAATGCTACTTCAATCCTCACTAAGTCCTTAGAGGCAAACTCTACCGAAACTCTACCAAGTTGCTGACGCAACATCATTCTCATAGCAGAAACTCTCTCGTTATCGCTACGCTCTCTAATATATTCCTTCATGGTGCGGTGAGCGTGGAACGAACACGCATAGATTTTCGTCGTCGTTGATATCCGCGTTCGTATACTCGCCTTGGCGTGCGGCGTTAGTGAAGGGCGCTTATTAATTTAAGTTGAACCTCTCTTGATTTCCCTCCAGTTACGTTCTCGGACCCAAGGATAGGGCGCTTGGTAATTTATTACCATTCGTCTGAGGACCCTTGTGAGGTGACCCCGAGACGAGGGATTCAAGGAAGGGACAATTTATTTTAATTTGTGGTACCTTATAGAGACGTCGTAGAGGATGAGTACGGAGGAGGCGAACGTGGAGGCCGGTAATTTGCGCGCCCTAGAGGAGGATCTCATGGCTCGACATTCTCGTGGTGAGATTAGTGATATCGAATACGAGTTAATGTTGGAGGGATTGCGCTCGCGTCGGCGTCGTGAGCACCCTTCGCCACGTGTAGAGAATGTTGAGCAAGCTGCGGGAGGTACTAGTGCGTGGGATATGGCCGTCGATGGCGGAAATAGCGATGACGAGGAGCTTGATGGGTTGATGTCGCGTGGGGTCCTGCGAGGACCAACTCGGTTTAGTACGTCTAGCGTCGGCGGTGTACAGGAGCGTGTTCATCGTGCAGCAGCGTCACGAGAGCATGCGAATGTAGGACGGCGGAGCGTTGCTGGAGGAGGAAATGCGGAAGAGTACGATAGTGAGGCTATGCCGGGCGTTACCCCGATTGGATCGATGTCGAGGGACGAGGGAATAGCCCCCAACTATGGCTACTTCAGATTCACTCCAGACAAGATCGTTGTCCCTAGGCCATTAGAAGGACGTCACGACCTGTCGACGTGGACAGAATCAATCGAGCCGCAGCTTGAGATCGCTCAGCTAAAACGATTCATAGATGGCACCACCCCCATTCCACCTGCGCGTGCACTTGCGCATCTCTCCCAGTTCCGCGCGATGCAGTTGCTGACGTTCACCACCATTTCCCGATGCTGCTCCCCAACCGTACAGATCGCCCTTAAGGCGTGTCGCATGAAGGTAGATGCCGGCTATCAGGCATGGCAGTTTATTATGCGCACGTACATGGCGAAGGACGATCTGTACATCGGTCAGTTAGAGCAGGCGCTCACTAACCTCGAGATGGGAGAGCACGAGTCCGCTACGTCATATTGCAACCGTGCGCAGCAGATCCTAGTGAACATGAGGATGGCCGGCGTAGATTACTCGCAGGCGTCGTACATCACTCACGTTGTGAAGGGGTTGCCGCAGCAGTACAACCTCTTGCGCAGGATGCTAAAGTTGCCGCAGGTGCGCAAGGAGTTGGACGAAGACACCCTCGCTAGCTACATCATCGAGGAGGAGTGTACGCTGGCGGCAGAGGGACGAAAGGACCAATTCCTTCCCCAGGCTAACCAGGTCTTTACCAAGAAGGGTAAGCCCCAATTCCAGCAGACTTCATTCCCTTCCCCTCCCACTACGGCACAGCAGCAGCAGCCTAAGAATGGGGGTGGGGCTGGTGGGGGAGGGGAGAAGTGGAAAGGGGGTAAGGATGGCCAGCCGAAGGGGGGGAAAGGGGGCTTCAAGGGAAAGTGCTATGTGTGTGGACAGACTGGGCATGTTGCTAAGTACTGTCAGCAGCGGGCGGATAAGGAGGCAGACGCTGGTGAAGAGGGTTCTGGAGGTAGCAGCGGAAAGGGGGGTGATGGCTCTAAGGGGAGCGGGCAGTCATCATGTGCGATGGTGAAGCCCGTTGTGGAGCAGACTCCTCTCGTTGTGCTGGAGCCTGAGGCCGGAGAAGGCTTACAGGCTGTTGCAGCTGCTGTAAAGGCGAACCCGAGTGTCGTGCTACTTGATAGCGGATGCTCCCACCATCTCATGGGAGATCGTTCTGCCTTTGTGGAGATGAGCAGCGGCGGCAGTATTAAACAGGTTACCGGCTTCAACGGCGCCCTTCAGGAGGTGCAGGGGCGAGGCACAGTCGCTCTTCTTGGAGAGGGGGGCAGGCGTGTCTTGGTGCCGGACGTGCTGTACGTACCAGGAGTGCAGGCAAGTCTTCTCTCTGCTGGGCAGCTGCGTGATAGTGGTGTGCAGCTGCTGGATGCCGGGGATGTGACTTTGCTGCGGGCACCAGATGGATCGCTCCTTGGTCGTGCGGAGTTCAAGGGGCGTGTTCTCTGCACGAACTTCCAGCCGTGTTCGACGCAGCAGCAGGAAGGCGAAACGGTGGCACTTCGTACCTTGGCGACGGGCGTGCGGTCTAAGGGGGACCTGTGGCATGTGCGTATGGCACACGTTGGTATTGATGGCATCGAGCGCACAGCGGCTCACGGGTCAGTGAAGGGCTTGGATTTGGAGAAGGGGGGCAAGTCAGGCATACCTTGTGTCTCCTGTGTTGGGGGAAAGATCACTCGTCATACCTTTCCTTCTGTGGGAGAGGAGGAGGATGAGTTGCTCGGGGTGGTGCATGCTGACCTGTGTGGCCCTTTCCGTGAAGCAGCTAAGGACGGCAGCCGCTACTTCTTGGTGCTGAAGGATCGCAAGACGCGATATGTCTGGGCCTACCCTTTGGCCCAGAAGAGTGATGCGCTGGCGGCGTTCCAGAAGTGGCTCCCGATGGCAGAGCGACAGTGCAAGACCACGGTGCAGGCGCTGCGCACTGATCGGGGTGGCGAGTTCCTGGGGCACGACTTCACGCTCTTCCTCGACGGCAAAGGCATCATCCATGACCTCACATGCCCATACACGCCGGTGCAGAATGGGATGGCCGAGAGGGAGATGCGCAGCATTGTGGAGGCGGTGCGGACGATGTTGCTGCACATGGGTGTGCAGCATCACTGGTGGCACCTGGCGTTGGCGCAGGCCGTATGGGTGCGCAACCGCGTGGAGCACGCCTCACTACCCTCTGGTGTGACGCCGTACGAGCTCGCCTTCCGACGCAAACCTGATGTCAGTATGGTTCGTGTTTGGGGGTGCATGCTGCAGTACATGGTACCACAGTTGCAGCGTGGGGGGAAGCTGGCACCTAAGGCTCGCTGGGGGTTGCACTTGGGTGTGTCAGCTGCGAGCAAGGGCTGGACCGTGCTGGACTTGGAGTCCAACCGCCTCATCACCACTGTGGAAGCTGTGTTTTATGAGACCATGTCCCTGGCAGGATGGAAGGCTTGGCATCAGCAGGAGCATGGGGGGCGTTCGATGCCCTATGCGCCCCTTCCCTCACTCTTCCCGATCACTCTCGAGAAGGCGGAGGAGGAGGAGGAGGTGGTCGCACCTCCTGCTATGCCCTATGTCCCTACCTCAGTCCCCACCCCACCTCCGCCTTCAGTCTACCCTCGTGTGATCCCCCCTGCCCCGCCTTCTTCCTCCTCACCCCCCTTGGCTTCCCCCCCTCCTCCTCCTGTTATTCCATCTCCCCTTCCACCCTCCATCCCTCCTGCACCTGCTCCGCCCTCCTCGTCGTCTTCCACGGCGCCGCCCGTTGGTGAGGGGGGGATAGAGGTGCCACCGTCTGTGGAGATCACCGACGGGCAGCGCCTTGAGTCTGAGCAGCTGCAGGACGAACGCAGTATGGATGGAGTACAGCAGAGTGGGGGGCAGGAGATAGGGGAGCAGCAGTCAGGGGAGCAGCAGATAGGGGAGGAGCGGATTGAGGAGCAGCAGATGGTGGACCAGCAGCTAGGGGAGCAGCAGACAGGGGAGCCGCAGACAGGGGAGCAGGAGATGTGGGGAATTAGAGATGGTGGTCGTGTGTTGGCCTCTGGGATGATCACTGCGCCACTGCGTCGCTCCACTCGCATCACTTGTGGTATCCCGCCTCTTAAGTATGCTTGGGCTTTATTGGTTGAGCCAGCGGGATTGGATGACGAGGAGGAGGACGAGGAGTGGACAGACCTGGACCCTGACGTGGTGGCTGACCCTGAGAGGCAGTGGGATATAGCGAAGATGACAGTGAAGGAGGCCTTAGGCTGCTGGAAGGGCGACAAGGTGAAGGAGGCGATGGATGAGGAGATGCGGAGCTTGATTGAGCAGGGGACGTGGAAGTTGGTTCCGCGTCCGCCAGGGGTGAATGTGATGAAGAACCGCTGGATTTTGAACACCAAGTTCCGACCGGATGGGATAGTGGAGCGTGAGAAGGCGAGGCTGGTGGTGAAGGGGTTCACGCAGGTGGCAGGGGTGGACTATGAGGAGACGTACGCCCCTGTGGGAAGCTATGTGACGGCACGTGTGCTTCTGGCAATTGCAGCTGCACTTGATTTGGACCTGATGCAGCTGGATGTGAAGAACGCGTTCCTCCATGGCATGCTGGACCGAGACCTTTACATGGAGCAGCCGAGCTACTACGAGGATGGGACTCCTCGTGTCTGTAAGTTGGTGAAGAGTCTGTATGGGCTCAAGCAGAGCCCGATGCTATGGTATGAGGCCTTGGATGGGGTGCTGCTTGGGGCTGGATGGAAGAAGAGCAAGGTGGATGAGGCTCTGTACTTCAAGAGTGATGCTGAGGGGGAGATGTGCTGGCTGCTGGTGTATGTGGATGACCTGCTTGCTGCCAGCCGCAGTCAGAGCTTGCTAGGGGAGCTGCGTGACCTGCTGCAGAGTGCCTTTCAGCTGCGGGAGATTAGCCCCGTGGAGAAATATCTGGGGTTGCAGCTGATTCGGGACAGGCCTACGAGGAGGCTGTGGCTGCACCAGGGGGCCTATGTGGACAAGGTCCATAGGCGCTTCTTTGACGGGGAGCAGCCGCTGCGAGTGCCTCGCACCCCTCTTTCCTCTGTCCCTTTAAGTGTGCAGACCTTCGAGGATGTGGGATGGCAGTCTCGCCAGGAGGAGGAGTACAGGCAGAAGGTGGGATCCTTGCAGTTCGCGGCCTGTACCACCCGTCCCGACATCTCGTTCGCCTGCAGCAAGCTGGGGTCGGGCCAGACTGTGCGGAGTGATCAGCACTGGAAGGAGTTGGACCGGTGCTTGGCGTACTTGGTGGGGAGCAGGGATGTGGCGCTGGAGTTTGGTGGGGGGCCGGAGTCCTTGGAGCTAGTGGGCTACGCCGATGCTGATGATGCGGGAGACAAGCAGAACAGGACCAGCACTGGTGGCTACATCTTCGTGCTCGGGGGTGCTGCTGTCTCTTGGGCGAGCCAGAGGATTCGTTGCGCCACCCTCTCCTCCACTGAGTCTGAGTATGTTGCTGCTGCGGAGGCTGGGAAGGAGGCGCGCAGGCTGCGCTTCCTGCTGGCAGAGTTTCAACTGCTGAGGAGTGAGGAGCCCACTACTCTCTTTGTGGACAACTCCTCTGCCATTTCAGTGGCAGGTGGCATGGGGCTCAAGGGGAGCCTCAAGCACATGGAGCGTCGTCACATGTGGCTGCAGCACATGGTCAAGCGCAGGAAGCTGCAGCTGCAGTACATCCCTACGAGCGAGCAGCCTGCTGACTACCTCACGAAGGCATTGCATTTCCCCGCCTTCAGTCGTTGCTTCGAGGCTGTGGGGCAGGTGAGGCTCTCGAGCAAGGGGAGTGAGACCTAGACACTCCATGATGTGGATGGTGCCATGGCCTATCCATGGCTGGTGCGGTGCTTGTTTGCACTTTGAGAGTGCTTCGTTTGTGTGTGTTTCCCTTTGTTTTGGCGTGTATGCGTGTATGCATGCCCTGTGATTATAAATGGCCTTGCTGTAGTATGGCAGGGGAGTGTTAGAGGGCCCTACGACAGCAAGGGCCCTCGACGACCGTTTGACTTGGCAGGTCGACTATGAAAGACCAAGACGAGCAGTCCAGCACCGACCCTATGATATGGCGATGGTTGCGTAGTGACGCGATGCGACAACGGCAGCACTAAACAGTCATTGCTGGGGTGGTGTTAGTCTAGGGAAATCGTGGGCATGCTTCTTGGGTGGTCTTGGTGGTTGTGGGTGATTCTCTGTGAGTCTCGCCATTTCTAGTTGTGCTGGGAGAATTGGCGAGCTCGGCATTGACTTCCCTGCTGAGTTGGGTTGGGGAGTTGACGAGGCGCGTTCGCTCACCCACACACCACTTTCGTGGGGTTGGGTTACTGCGCAGTGCCACGCCAACTTTGTGAAACCTTCCCGTAGCCTATATCTAGTTGTGTGTGTTTTTGTATTCATAGTTGATATTGCAATTCTACTTGCCCAAATGCTACTTCAATCCTCACTAAGTCCTTAGAGGCAAACTCTACCGAAACTCTACCAAGTTGCTGACGCAACATCATTCTCATAGCAGAAACTCTCTCGTTATCGCTACGCTCTCTAATATATTCCTTCACTCTCCCCCTCGCGGTTCTTGACTAATTTTATAAACGTCTCAAGAAGATCCCCCTTCCTCCCCTCCTCCCTTGTTTTCCCTTCTCCCAGTCAGCCAATTAGGCAATCTTCCTGTGCCTATCGGAAGTCGAAGAGGAAGATAGACGGAAGGCGCGGGAGACGCACGCGCTACTAGCAGGGGGGACGCGCTCTACCTCCTCGCTCTCCTCCCCTCCTGCCCTTTCTTTTCCCCCCTCCCAGTCAGCTGAACAGGCAACCGTCCTGCGCCTATCCGAAATGGAGGAAGAGCGGCGGAACGCGCGGAAGAGGCGTGTGCTGCTAGCAGGGGGGAATTGCGCTCATCCTTCTCGTTCTCCTCCCCTCCTGCCCCCTCTTTATACCCCCCCAATCCTCCCAGTCAGCGGAGCAGGCAATCTTCCTGCGCCTGTCCGAAATCAAAGAGGATGAGAGGCGGAAGGTGCGGAAGAGGCGCGCGCTGCTAGCGGAGCGACGCTGCTCGTCCCCTTCGCGGTCCTCCCCTCCTGCCCCTCTCTACCCCCTTTCCCCCTTGCCCCCGCTTCTGCAGTCAGCCGAGCAGGCAATCTTCCTGTGCCTATCGGAAATCGAAGAGGACGAGAGGCGGAAGGCGCGGAAGAGGCGCGCGCTGCTAGCGGAGGGGGTGGCGCTTATCCTCCTCACTCTCCTCCCCTCCTGCCCTTTCTTTTTACCCACCCAACCCCCGCAGTCAGCCGAGCAGGCCATCTTCCTGCGCCTATCCGAAATTGAAGAGGGGGAGAGACGGAAGGAGCGGAAGAGGCGCGCGTTGCTAGCAGGGGGGGCGGCGCTCATCCTCCTCGCTCTCCTCATAGCAGCAGCGGTCGCGATCGGCGTGACAGCGAGCAAGAAGACGTGCCAGGAATCCGCGGACCAATCCAGCAACGCCACGTCAGCAGAGGCGGTGCTGACTCAGCAGCAGCAGCAGGGGGAGTTGGTAGGGACGGTGCAGATCGGGGGGAGGTGGGGGAATGTGAGCACTGTTGTTGCAAAGCTTGACATTCAACCCAACACCAACGGTCTTATCTCAGCAAACGGAGGAGGCGCCACCTCATCATGGGATGCTGCCACGTGGCAGCCGTCTGGGGGTGCCGTAGAGGACACGTCAGCATTTCAGCAACTGGCAAATCCGGAGCTGACACCTGTCGATGCGCAAGTTTTAGGGATGGGAGGGGAGAGAGGGGTGGGCGACCCGTATGACTACTCTGCTGATGCACCACCACCACCATCACCAGCACTACCGTCATCACCAGCAGCACCAGCGTCACCACCACCACCACCATCACCAGCACCACCCCAGGCACCAGAAGCGCCAGATGCAAATTCAAGCTCAACCGGACCTACAGATATTCTAAGCAGGATCGCAGCCCTTATCAAGGTAGGTGAAATCGGGTATCAAGGTAATTCTTCTGTGCTTTTCAAATCAGGACGAGAGCAGGGTTGCAACCCTGCCTGACAAAGGTAGGTTCAAGTCCCACGCTGAAGCAGCATCGCAGAATCTTGTCGGTTTCAGGCCTGGGCTCCCGGAGCTTCTCCCTCGAGCCGTTCAAGGAGATTCGAATTCCTTCCTGTTTTCCTAATCTCGACTCCTCTTACGCGCCTCATTCTTCCTTCTTCCCAAACATGTATTTCTCACCAGCCTCCGGACCTGTCAGTGCAAGGAGTGGACTTCCAAAACGGCCACATGTCGGTATCAGGCCCGGACTCCTGGAGCTTTAGCCTTGAGCCGTTCAAGGAGGTCAGCCTGGATCTGACCGCACTGATCAACGTGGCGGCGGTGGTGTCGAATCCGAACCCCATCGAGATCATCGCGCAGGAGGTCAACATGGACGTCAGCTTCTACAGTGTCGACGTCGGCTACGCTAACGTGAGATTCGCGTTTCTTGAGAGCCTTCGATTTCAGTAGGGTTCAGTTAGGTTTCTTCGCGGTAGGCATCGGTTCACATTATTTCCGCTCTGGACCGTGAGGCACCAGAAAGAATCAGTGTGATCCGTCCCTGAGTCGAAAGTGAATGCGCGGAAATCCAACCAATTCCCCTAGGAGCCTACTAGATTGACGGCGCTGATCAACGACCCTCCTGAGCCGAATCCGAACCCCATCGAGACTATCGCGCAGGAGGTCAACATGGACGTCAGCTTCTACAGCGTAGAGTAGGTGTTAGCTACGCCAAAATTGATATATCGTTTCAGAATATACATTATAAATACAGTGCTACATATATTATGCTTCCGAATGCTTGTCTACCTTTTTCCTCCACAAGCCCAGTTCCTGCCGGCCCCACATGCCCTTGCCCCTTGCCATGTGTATGTGCTTCCAGATCCCAGAATCTTCACTCTCCCAGCCAACGACATCTTGGAGTAGACAAGGTTTTACGACAGCCAACGACAAATTTTCCTCAATCCCACATGCCCTTGCCCCACGCTTTGTGCATGCAGATCCCGGACTTCACTCTCCCTGCCAACAGCAGCGCCACCATCACTGTCCCATTCAACATCGACAACTTCCCGCTGCTCTCCTTCTCCGATCAGAGCCTTATCACGGGTTCCATCGCAAATGGCGAGCTCGAGTTTCAGGTGTGTGACTTGGCAAACCCACAACCAATCCAGTGGGTACATTACTTGCTAGTGGATGACAGTGGAGTGCTTTACTAAAAAAAATCCTCATTTGGTTCATGTATGCATGCATGTTCAATGTGTGGCTTCTATCCTCCACGTTTTTTCCAATCCAGTGAGTTTGCGTGTATGGTTTGATGCGGTAATGTTTCTGCAGGTTGTGATTAACTTGAAGGCCAGGACTCGGATCCTTCAGAGCCTCACACCAGCATTCAATGTAAGCACACATAACTATGCATGGAACACACGCACACCACCATACAGACACGCACTCACCCGCATGCACACACCGTTATATACACACCATCATGCACACAGCCCCATGGAGACACTCCTTGTGTCAAGGATTTTTGCGCATCTATCTAATCCTTATGTGCCTTCTCGTCTCCTGTCTTGTATTCCACTTTGACCCATGTGTGCCAGGTTCAATTGGTGTGTAACGCAGTGGTCAACCTGACACAAAATAACGTGCTTTCCAAGTCGTGCAGCACGAACATTGCCACGTGAACAAACAAGCAATGACTCATTGCAAGCAGTAGCTTGTAGTAGCGAGCCACCACTCGTTACAAGCAGGCTTGTGGTAGCAACTTGCTACTGGCAAGCAACAGCGCGGTGTATTACGGTATGGGCTTGTAGTAACAAGCAATGCACAAGAAACAACACATCAAGAAGGCAATTGCTTGTTGCCATCTCGGATCGTATGACCAAACCTGTATGCTGTGCTGTGGTTGTACCAGGTGCGCATTTATTTTAATTTATTATGGTGGGCTGTTTGCGTATATGTAACGGTTTTGGCACTTTATTTTAACAAGAGAATCAATCAGCTCCAGACGCCCAGCTTATTGGAAACATACCGTACAGTTCGCGCTTTTGATGTGTCGAGCACTACAATAAAAGCGAAGCGAACTGAAGCAAAACAACAGCGAGTCAACAAAAGCGGTTGACAGAAAGACAACAGCAAGAGGTTGAGTGTGTTGGAAACATCAAGCTCGCGCTTCTGATGTGTCGAACACTACAGCGTAAGCGAAACGAACTACAACGAAGTAACATCGAGTCAACCAAAGCGGTTGACAGGAAGACAACAGCAAGAGGTCAAGTGAAGGTCAAAGGTCAGTGACCTTTGACTCGCCGAAAAGCAGCGCGATAGCAAGGACACATAACTGACTCGCTATTGAGCAGTTACCCGAGTCGTCGCTGTATCGAACCGCAACAGCAGATTCAGTTACTGAAACCTTTCATATTACTTTGTAATCATATAAAGCTTTGTATCTCTTTGCTGTTATCAACTCATCTTGTTCTCACATACGAGTGCAAGGTGGTTCAACCAGTCCATCAATACGCTTCCGCTAATACATAACTACTCTGAGACTTTAGTCTTGAAAACGATCCTATGGGTTTTTCTCAGCCCAACACAGCTGACTGACAATTTATTTATTGAAGTACACTCGGGCATATCTAGAGTACTGGTATGTACAAATATAGGTCACACGTTTGATACTCAATTTTAGCTGTCAGAGGTCCACTGGTGATCCCCGATTGATCCTAGGGAAGAATTATAGGCATGTTGGCCTGGGGGGTTATGAGCGCACTGACCCGCTACTTAACAAGCCCTTTTATCCCAATGGTATGGTGGTTGGGATTGTGACATGGTATCAGAGCGAAGGTCTCGAGTTCGAATCCCAGAGTGTGCACTTCGGGCATCCCAGTGCGGGGGGGTGTCAGAGGTCCACTGGTGATCCCCGATTAATCATAGGGAAGGGTTACAGGCATGTTGGCCTGGGGAGTTATGGGCGCACTGACCCGCTACTTAACAAGCTCATTTATCCCAATGGTCTAGTGGTTGGGATTATGACATTAGCCCCTCATAAGATTTGAATCAGAAATGCCAGACGATGCACTTGTAGTACTGTTCTACAGTGATGTGCCTGGGTCCACCAAAGCCATTAATGAGGAAGACATTAGCGAGGACAAGCTTGAAAACTTGAAAATGGTGGTCCTTCGGCCAAGCTGTGAGAGAGGAGTGAGAGAGAGAGAGAAGCGGAGCGAGTATCGATGGACTTAATCCAGGTCACTGGAAGAATTACAGAAGGCATGTAAAAGGAAGAGGGAGAGCAATGTGGGGTTCGTGAGGGGAAGAGGATGAGAGTGAGTGAGAGTAATTGAGCTGGAAAGCAAAGCCTTACTCTGCATCTCGGGGTGTCGAGTGAAGAGGGCGTGTTCGGCGAATAAGAGCTCTTCGGGGTCGAGCACACGGTGCAGCTGAACAGAGGAGAGAAGAGGTTGACATGGGGAGGGGGTAGTGGGGCGAGGGATTCACATGCGGGTTGGATGTGGCGCATTAAGAGGGCTTTCAATGTGTGAGTATACCAGTCAGTTTAAGAGTACTGTGTTAGGCGAATGAGAGCACTTCAATGTTGGGCACTTTGACTGGAACAACTTTTAATCTAACCCACCCCACATACACTCCCCGCCACACCATTTCACACATCAACCCAACCATCTCACACCTCTCCTGAAAGAGTCAGCTTGGCACAGAGCGGGCTTTCAGGGTCCGCGTCACAGCACGCGCTGAGAGGCAAGGGGACGGATTCACCCCACCATTCATTCTGTCATACAACGTTGAGTCCACCCCACCCCACCATCTCAGACATTCACGCCTACCACTCCTGAAAGAGTCAGCTTGGCGCAGAGCGGGCTTTCAGGGTCCGAGCCACCGCATGCGCTGAGAGGCATGGCGTTCACTCAATTCAAACCATCTCACACCATCACATACACCTTGTGCTACAACAACCCACCTCCTCGAAACCGAATCGGCCTACCTATCCTGAAAGAGTCAGCTTGGCGCAGAGCGGGCTTTCAGGGTCCGAGCCACCGCATGCGCCGAGAGGCATGGCGCTCACTCAATTCAAACCATCTCACACCATTACATACACCTTGTGCTACAACAACCCACCTCCTCGAAACCGAATCGGCCTAACTGTCCTGAAAGAGTCAGCTTGGCGCAGAGCGGGCTTTCAGGGTCCGAGCCACCGCATGCGCCGAGAGGCATAGAGCTCACTCAATTCAAACCATCTCACACCATCACATACACCTTGTGCTACAACAACCCACCTCCTCGAAACCGAATCGGCCTACCTGTCCTGAAAGAGTCAGCTTGGCGCAGAGCGGGCTTTCAGGGTCCGAGCCACCGCATGCGCCGAGAGGCATGGCGCTCACTCAATTCAAACCATCTCACACCATCACATACACCTTGTGCTTCAACAACCCACCTCCTCGAAACCGAATCGGCCTACCTGTCCTGAAAGAGTCAGCTTGGCGCAGAGCGGGCTTTCAGGGTCCGAGCCACCGCATGCGCCGAGAGGCATGGCACTCACTCAATTCAAACCATCTCACACCATCACATACACCTTGTGCTACAACAACCCACCTCCTCGAAACCGAATCGGCCTACCTGTCCTGAAAGAGTCAGCTTGGCGCAGAGCGGGCTTTCAGGGTCCGCATCACCGCATGTGCCTAGAGGCATGGCGCTGACAGCCAATGAGGCGCGAGGATCTGCTGCCACGTCAGCAGCAGAGGGATCCATCGGCGTGAGGTAAAAGTAGGGCGTCCCTGGGGAAAAAGAGACAGAGAGAAGGAAAAGTGCAAGGCGAAGCGAAAGGTGTGCACAGCAGGGTGTGGGCGAAACAACCTGAGGGGTTTGTAAAGAAAATGTAAGTAGAAATATTTTATAGTTGCAGGCTGCAGCAGCTGAATGGGGAGTGAGTGGGGGAGTGTGGAAGGGGGGGGAGAAGGGGGGGCGTACAAAAAACGTCAACTGGCAAGTGGGGGAGGTGGGAGTGAGTACACACCTGCACTTTGACTATGAGAGTGGGGTGAAGTTACAAACATATGATTCCATAGTGTTTAAACAGCATACCTGTTTTGAAGGAGCCTAGAAAACACACCTCTGTAGTTACCAAGAGCTCCATCACTGAAAGAAACCACGTTGCTGAAACAACGGGAACCACCACGGGAAGGAATACAGTACAGACAGAGGAGTTGGCTTGAATTGAGTTATAGAAAATAAAAAGGGAGCGTTCTTGGTCATTGTCAAAGAGAATAACCTTGTTCAGACGCATGAAATATATATATTGTCGTTTTAAAATGCAATAAGTTGCTTACCCAAATGGTGAGCCGTCAAGGTGCCGAGAAATTGTGCTGCACACAAGATTTCAAGGGCAGGTGGAATAGAACGAAACATTGTGAGTCAACTCTCGGACTGTCACAAAACCTTCTTTGCCTCAGATATTCTATTGCTCGGAATCTGGGGGAAATAACCGGCAAATCTATCCCTAATAAAGGATTTCTACCAGAAGCGAGCAAATTGTGCTAGTATGTTCCCCGTGTGACAATAATCTCCAACAGCAGGCTCTCTTCTCTAGAGTCCAAATCCTAGCCATCTACATGTTTCCCGCAATGCTAGTATCCCCCAAGTGCTGAGCGCCCGTTTATTTAGCCTAAAACAATATTTCCCCGTAATTTGCGCCTCAAGATTCGTCCCCGTGTTTTCCGCCAGCCTACCTGAGTACTCCCCAGCTGCTGCGCGCAACCAACCATCGCGCGAATTCCGCCGGATCCTTCCCACTGTAGCTCAATATTCCCGTCAACTTATCTCCGAATCGGTTATAATCAACCTTGCCACTCTGAATACTCGTCAACTTGTCGGACAGTCCGTTAAATTCGTCCTTCCCAGAGTCAATCCTATCCTGACGACGCGACGCGTCGCCAGGCGTTGCGAATTGACGAATATTCTCGCCTCGAATCAGTTTTTCCCAGCTGCTAGTAGATACTGCAGAACCGGCGGAAGCAAGAGGTAAGGCGGCGACCAGCAGAAATATGAGAGAAGGACACCTCCTGAAAAATTGCGTGCTGAGAGGCAAGGAAGACATCGTGATAGAGTTCTGTCCCCTGAAAAACTGATAGATTCCAGCGCTGCAAAAGGCGTCTAAATTCTCCGTGAATGGCGGCTGAATTCCTGCTCCGTGAAATCTGCTGCTGTTGTGCCTGTTGATGTTTTGCTTCAAGGAAGAAGGGGGGTAGTCAAGGAAACATATTCGTTTTTGGATGACCTCGTAGACGTTTCTGATAAAAACAAATACACCTGAACGGACACTGACTTTGTAGAAGTTACCGCGAGAAATTCGCATTCCAGAACAAACTTTTCGTCCCCGGCTACCCATCCTTTCCCCCATTCACCTTGTTCCCGCCCACACTCGCCTCCGCCAAATCCTTCCGCTTCCCTCAGCCCGGTTTCTGCCTTCACTCTTCTGCCAAACCAGCAGCTGATCGCCAGGTTTCTCCACCCGCTAGTTTTCACCTCACGCTCCACGGTTTCTAAAGGTGCGTTACGTTTCCAGAGCGGTATATAGCTCTTCGATTTTCACCTTTTGTAAACGTACTGAACCGTACTGAATGATCAGGGGTGAAGCCGCGAAACGATATTTTTTTTTAGACCATGGGTGGAATGGAAGGCACTTCTTTCTAAAGGACTGTAGCACTGTTGTATTTGCTTGACCAACTTAGTTGGCTAGCAGTAAGTTCTTTGGTTCGTACTTTGTTCGTGATCATTTTCGCACCAGAGCCTTGCGTAAGTTGACTCGCGTCACGTCCCGTTTGCAGCTTACGTCTTCACTGTTAACAAGCTTCTCGCTGTAAGTAGCTCTAGCCTTCACGACGTACATTTAGGTTTAATTCCCGAGATGCCGTCCAGATCGCCGTCTCCTCGCAGGCGGAGCCGCAGCCGCAGCCCTGTCCGCAGTCCCGTCAAGCGGCGAAGCCCTAGTCGGAGCCCGGTGCGGGGACGCAGCCGGAGCCCGATTCGCCGGCGCAGCCGAAGCCCCGTCAGGAGTCCCGTTAGAAGCAGAAGCCGCAGTCCTTATAAGCGTCGGTCGAGGAGTCCTGTAAAGGGGCGGAGCCGGAGTCCACCGTTCAGGCGTGGAAGCCCCCGCGGGCGGAGCCCTCCGCCGAGGAGCCCAGACCTGGAGTAAGCCGCATACAGATATACTTTTCGCAGCTTTTCTTGCTGAGTCTAGTTTAATGAAACGATAGCTTACGAAGCAGCCTGAAACGTGTCGTGATTTGTTTAAGAGCCTGCAGACTTGTGTTCTTTCGTTCTTTTGCTTGATAATTCTTCCTCATTTCGTACCGTTGGTTTCAGCGACCAGTCAAGGAACCCTGGAAATAACCTTTACGTGACCGGCCTGTCCATGCGGACGGCAGAGGCGGAGCTGGAGAAGCATTTCGCGAAGGAAGGAAAGGTATTACAGTTCTCCAAGCATGCTTGATGCAGCTCTTATCACCGCTTTTCTCTACTCATCATGCTTAACGCAACTTTGCCTTATATTAATTCATTTTATTTTATTAAAAGAGCGGAAACTAGCGAGTCTATTCATGAGCCATTCTTTGTCACCGCTCACCTCTTGACTTCCTACATCCACCCTCGCTTCCTGGAAGACTGATTACCAACGCTCATCTTTCTTTCTTTCTTTCCACGTGTTTCGTTTTCCGCAGGTGGCGGAGTGCAGGCTGGTCCTTGACCCGCGCACCAAGGAGTCGCGCGGCTTCGCGTTCGTCACGATGGAGAACGTCGACGACGCGCGCCGCTGCCTCAAGTACCTCGACCGCTCCATCCTCGAAGGCCGCGTCATCACCGTCGCGCTCGTACGTTCGTCACCGATTTCTGAAACTCTGTTGAATTTTCCCGTTTTCGCCTCCCTCTCTGTGCCCCGTTCTATGTTTTTTGCGACGCTGGTTTCAATCACCGTCTGGTTCCTGTTTCACGTTTTTTGCCAGCTATGTGTGAGGTTGACGTTTCTCGTCCTCCCTCTCTCTTCTCTCCACCATCTCCGCTCTCTCCCGTCTGCCTACCCAGCGTGGGTTAGACCAATGCTGCTCCGCCACTCATCCCCTATTCGTCTCCCACATTCAAAGCCCCTTAGCGGCCTCGACATTAGCGGCCTCAACCCTAGCCGCGTCGACCCTAGCGGCCTCGACCTTAGCGGCGTCGACCCTAGCAGCTTCGACGTAGCGCCAATCAAGCGCCAAACACTTGCACTTACGCCACGCCAACCAACCCCAACAATCCTGCCTGCACCAACGAACGCGATTCGCATGCACCTCACCAATACTGCAAGCGGCCAATACTGCTGCATTGCAAGCAACCCCCTTTTCGGCATCAATTTCTTCGATTTAAGATTCCGCCTCGATTACGTGTGATCGAGTCTGCTCAGCCCCGAGCGACCAATGTAGCGGCTGCAAATCAGATCCTGCCTCAACCCCAACCCCAATGCCTATTGTTACGCCTCCCCAACAGCTCCTTCGACCCCGATCCAAGCATGCGCTACCGGTGGTGTTACTTGCTTCCTGTCCCCATTTCCTTATGACATTGCATGCATTACACGAGTCTTTGCATCTTGTTTTCTTCATTCACATCGCCTCTCCCATAGTGTCTGCCCTAATATTTGCATTTTGTCAGAGAAGGTTGATTTATCACAGTAGGCGTCCAGCTGCCTCAAGAGGTTGGTAGTTGGTGGATTTTAACCTTTTTTGTCAATCCTGTGTTTCCAACAGGCGAAGAGAAAGCGCGCTCGAACCCCAACTCCTGGCAAGTTCCTGGGTACTCGTAGCCTGAAGGAGGCTGTTGTGGTTGGCGGTGGTAAGTGTAGGCTCTTGTCAGTATATTACTTGTATAAAGTTTGGCCTCACCATTTTTTTCTTGGTATGATGTCACATGGAAGCTCATGTAAATTTGTTAACATGGGTTGAATGCTCAAAGTAAGTGATTTGTCATTTTTGTCTATTCTGCTCTCCATTCTTTTTACTTGTCTCAGTAGACCGCAGTTATGGTGGTGACAGGGAGTTCAATCCCCGCCGATCATCACCAGACTACCAGCCTTACCGCCGAGACAGATCACCTGATTATGGCCCCTATCGTGGAGCAGGTTACAGGTACGGTTGCATGACTTCAGCATGTGTTACAGTTTTGCCTGCAATAATTGCCGGAGCTATAGGTTTAGTATTTGTTGGCAGCATTGTGGCTTGCATTTTTCACATGTTGAACCTGTGGAAATGTGATGTGGAGGTTTTCAGTAGTGTCCATGTAACGTTCCCTGACAGCATTCGCACACACCCACCCCTATCTCCTGCTTTCTCTCTATTCCAGGTAAAATATGTTGTAACCAAGACGTAGTGTGGTCTACTGACTGAGGATAACGATTCCTAAGCTTTACAGTCTGCTGGTCTACTGGTCTACTGGTCTGCTGCTATTTTCTAACGACTAGGCTGTGATTCGTCTTGTGATTTTGCTGAATATGGTAGTTCAGCTCTGTTCAGTTCAGACAAACCAGAATCTATGAGAAGCCAAGATTAGCAGACAGCACACCACCAGTAACACCGGGCTCCTAAATTAGTCCGAGACTACCGAGGAAACCAAAGACGGTTTAATTTTACTGTCGCTGACGCATCCGGTTGTTTGGGCCTCCGGAATTCATAGATAATCAACATTTGCTAACAGTGTTTACCCTCCCGGGGATTTTTGTTTTTTCTCATTCTTTCTTTCTTTTGTTAGGCCTTCGTTTCCGACCGTTTCCCACAGCGGGCTCGCTTCATAAAGCATCGCATCTGCATATTCAGAATCATGGTTCGTCGGAAGCCTTTTCGAATTGCGATTCCGGATGTCGCGGTAGCTCTGTTCGTCGCGTGTCTAGCCGCTGCTGTCTCCCACGTGGCTGCGATATCCAATGACGCGCAAGACGAAGAGAGGCTCATAGGATGGAAGGGGGAAAGGTAGGTGTAGCTGCTGCTAGCGTGTATATTGCTATTGGGATGATCAGGATTGCCTCTGGTAGGCTGTCGCGTCTCCCTTTCTACAGGCTTATCCCGTCGACTCCTTTTGCCTTTTTCACCAGGTAGCGTTGATTCAAGTGGTCAAGTCGATCCATCTCAGCAGCAATGAATAGAAATCATCTCATTACATGGATAGGACTCACCTCATCTCCACATTTGTATCCGTTTGCAATGCTTTCCATCCGTCTGTATCCCCTCGTGTCACTTTATGCTGTTTGCGTTTCGCCAAGCAGCTTCAACTCAACCAGTGAAGGCAATCCATCTCAGCAGCAATGGATATACCTCATCTCATAAGAGCCCGGATTTTTTTCCACAGCTGTATTCATTTGCACTGCTTTCTATCTCTTTCTATCCCCTCGTGTCCCTTCATGCTCTTTGTGTTCCTCCAAGCAGGTTCAACTCAGCCAGTGAGACGATCCATCTCAGTTCATCTCGTGGGAGCCCAGGGCCTTCTTCTTCAACTCTTTGCACCTCTTTGTATCTCTTCGCATCCATCTTCAAACCTTGTGCCCCTTACGTTGCCCCACGCAGCTTCAACTCAACCAGTGGGGACGATCCATCGCAGCGGCAATGGATAGAGATCATCTCGTGGGAGCCCAGGGCCTTCCTCTTCCACAATTTCCTGGTAGGATTCTTTAGTTGTATGCTTCTATATCAGTGTTTGTGTCAATTCCGAACCAGCTAGGGCCTTCCTCTTCCACAATTTCCTGGTATTATCCTTGATGAACCCCTTTTTGTATCAGTTTTTTTGTGTCGACTCAAAACCGCCTAGAGCCTGCTTCCACAATTTCCTGGTAGGCTGTTGTAACAGTTTCCTCGTCCGGTGTGGTCAAGTCGACTGTCAACCATATCATTCCCTCTCCTCGCCAATCGCTTATTCTTCCTTCCCATCCTCGCCCATCCTTGCTACAGACCGCCAAGGAGTCCCTTGGTTCATAAGGCCTTGTGTGGCTTGGTCAAGTCGACTGTGAACCATATTTTTCTTCTCGTAGCCAATCACTTATGCTTCCTTCCCGTCCTCACCCATCTTCACCTATCCTCACCCATCCTTACCCACCTTCCGCCATCCTTGCCACAAGCTGCCAGGGAGTGCCTGTATCTGGTTCATCAAGGCCGCGTCCGGCGTGGTCAACCATATTAGTCCTCTGCTGACCAATCTCTTATGCTTCGTTCCCATCTTCACCCATCCTTACCTTTCCTCACCCATTCTTGCCACAGACTGCCAAGGAGTGTCTGTATCTGATTCACAAAGCCGCGCCCAACATGGTCAAGTCAACTGTAGTGGACAGCGACTCAGGCGGCTCCTACAGCAGCAAGTGAGTCTTCCTGTAACGAGTATGGTTAGGGATCGGTGTAAACCGCTCCGACAGTAGCAAGTGAGTCTTCCTGTAACGAGTGCAGACAGGGATCAGTCTAGGCGGCAGCTACAGCAGCAAGCGAGCCTTTGTGTAGCGACTATGATCAGGGACCAGACTAGGCGTAAATGGTGTTGCAGATGCAGATAGGAAGGAAGGGTGAATCCGTGAGAACCTATGGTGTGCCCTTAGGATTTTAACCTTTGAATTTCAACATTTATAAACTGTACCCTTCCTATTGCAATGGTTTCTGTTCTGGCAGGATCAGCACGAGCTCGGGGTCGTTTGTATCACGGGGATCAGACCAGGAGGTGGCATCGATAGAGAAGAGAATAGCTGATCATGTTTTTGTCTGTCTCTGTGATTCCACTACTTTCTCTTGTGCCACGATCCGGACCGGACGAGCTCGGGTTTGTTTTTATCACGGGGAGCGGATGAGGTGGTGACGTCGATAGAGAAGAGAATAGGTGATGATAATTTTGTCTGTCTCTGTCTCTGTGTCTTTGATTGTAATGGCTTGTGTGGTGCCAGGATCCGGACGAGCTCAGGGTCGTTTCTGTCACGGGGAGCGGATGAGGTGGTAGCATCGATAGAGAAGAGAATATCCGACTTCTCCCACGTGCCTGTGGGTGAGTCACTAGATAACTGGAATACGGGGGGGGCATTCGGACCATGCGGTGCTGCAGGCTCATTTCTGTCACGGGGAGCAGACGAGGTGGTGGCATCGATAGAGAAGAGAATATCCGACTTCTCGCACCTGCCTGTGGGTGAGTCGCTAGCTGAATAGATGAATGGAAGAAGGGGTCGCATAATGACGATGCGGTGCTGTGCTGCAGGTGGTGACATTGATAGAGAAGAGAATATCCGACTTCTCCCACCTGCCTGTGGTTGAGTCTTGACCTAGGTGATAATGCTTCAAGAGTTGAGTAGACAACCAGAAAGGGTCGAACAATGATGGGGTGCTCGCAGTGCCGCCACCTGCTCGCAGTGGTGATGGGGTCCTCCAGGACCGCATGTGTCTGTTGGTGCTTGTTGGTGCTGCAGGTGGGAGGGTGTGTGGATGAGAGATTAGGCATGCACATGCGACACTACGAGTTTTTTCAGGAGTACCAGGCGCACTCTGACTGCTTCCTTTCTCCGCATCCCTTCCATGCGTTCAGTGTCTTATCATGGCCTATACTTCCCGTTCCTCCCCCTCCTGGTGTCCCGTTTTCTCCCATACTTGTGTCTTCTGATTACCCCCACCAGACCACGAAGAAGCCACTCATGTGCTACACTATGAGCCCTCGCAGGTGTACCAGGCGCACTTTGACTATTTCCCTCCTCCCTTCCATGCGTTCAGTGCCTTACATTGCACTATATTTCCCTGCTTCCTTTCTCCCATGTCACCCTACTTGTCAGACCACGGAGAGGCCATTCATGTGCTACACTATGAGCCCTCTCAGGACTTCCGGGCGCACTTTGACCCACAACCCGATGCCCTCCCCCGATGCCCTATACGATACCCTAAACCCTACTCGTTTTCATCGTATCAGGCCACGGGGAAGCCAGTCACGTGTTGCGCTATGAAGCCTCCCAGGAGTACCAGGCGCACTTTGACCCACAACCCCCCTGCCCCTCTTACCCTCTCCCTCCCTCCCCTGCTCGACACTCCCCTGTTCTCCCATCAGACCACGGGGAGGCTATTCACGTGTTGCACTATGAAGCCTCCCAGGAGTACCAGGCGCACTTTGACTATTTCCACGATGACATCAACACTCGCAATGGGGGGCAAAGGCTGGCGACTGTGCTAATGTACCTGTGAGTGTGGGGAGTGGAAGGGAGGGAGAAAGGGTGTGACTATATTGGATGGAATATAAGAACGGGGTTATAGGGCCCTCCCAGGGGCACCAGGCGCACTTTGACAATTTTCAAGACGACATCAACACGCGCCATGGGGGGCAGCGACTTGCGACTGCTCTGATGTAACGATTTTTTAGTCGACTCAAAAATCGCCTCTGATGTACCTGTGAGTGTGGCGAAGGGTGCGTGTTGGGAGGGAGGGGTCTGACTGTATTGGATGGAATATAAGAACGGGGTTATAGGGACCTCTCAGGAGTACCAGGCGCACTTTGACGGCGTTCGTCTGAACTGCTAAAGCTTTCTCGCTCCCCTCCCCACCTCTTTCATTTCGTACCCCCCCGTTCTCGCTCATATCTCCATCTTCATTCTCTTTCTCACTCCCTCCCTGCAATATAAACATTCCCCATATAAAAGTCGTGTGAACTGAGACGATTTTTGAGGCGCCTCAAAAACCCCCCCGTTCTCACTCAGACTTCCATCTTCATTCTCTTTCTCACTCCCTCCCCCTCTTTCCTTGTCTCCCTTTTTCTCCAGCTCTGATGTGGAGGAAGGAGGGCCGAGATTGTGTTCCCAGCAGCAGAGCTCACCCCGACCAACATCCACTCGCCTCTACCACCAGACTCGCAGCTCTCCAAGTGCGTCCAAGGGCCTGCGACCCTAAACCCCGTCTCTCCTTCATTCCCTGCCATGCTTGCCCCTTTCTCCCTCCAGCTCTGATGTGGAGGAAGGGGGCGAGACAGTGTTCCCAGCAGCAGAGCTCACCCCAGACAACATCCACTCGCCGTTCCCACCAGACTCGCAGCTCTCCCAGTGCGCTAAGGCCATGCCATCCAACTCCCTCTCTCCTTGATTTTTAATCCTTCCCTCTTCCATCCCCTGCCATCTCTTCCTCTCTCGCTCCAGCTCTGATGTAGAGGAAGGGGGAGAGACGGTGTTCCCAGCAGCAGAGCTCACGCCAGACAACATCCACTCACCGATACCGCCAGACTCACAGCTCTCTCAGTGCGCTAAGGGAATGCTGGCGGTGAAGCCCAAGCGGGGCAACGCACTGCTCTTCTGGAACCTCAAGCCCGACACGACCCTCGATCCCAAGAGTCTACATGGTGAGTGGGTGTTAGCCCTGCAATAAGCGAGTTCATACCATTGTTTTCACGTCCACCAGACTCGCAGCTCTCTCAGTGCGCCAAAGGCATGCTGGCAGTGAAGCCCAAGAGGGGCGACGTGCTGCTTTTCTGGAACCTCAAGCCTGATACAACGCTCGACCCAAAGAGCCTGCACGGTGAGTCTTACTCCCTCAGCCTCAGCATACACACGGAATCATGCACTCGCCAATACCGCCAGACTCGCAACTCTCCCAGTGCGCAAAGGGCATGCTGGCGGTGAAGCCCAAGAGGGAAGCTGCGTTGCTTTTCTGGAACCTCAAGCCCGATACAACCCTCGACCCGAAGAGGTTACACGGTGAGTCTTATGTTACCCCCTTGGCCAGCCAACATACACACACCCTTACGGCCAGACTTGCAACTCTCCCAGTGCGCCGGGCATGCTGGCTGTGAAGCCCAAGAGGGGCGCTGCGCTGCTGTTCTGGAACCTCAAGCCTGGTACAACCCTCGACCCAAAGAGCTTGCACGGTGAGTGCTACCCTCTCAACCCCAAGAGTCTACACTGTGAGTCTCATGTTACCCCCTCAGCCAGCCAAAGCCAGCCAACGAGCGGGTTTCGCAATGAGTAGGCCATGGCATGATGGCACTGGTAAACTTTGTTCCGAGAGTGAGCTGGATGTGTGTTTTTGGAACAATGAGGTGTGGATTCGGATTGTTTTTTTGTGCATTTTGTTTGTGCTGAAGCTGTTCTCAGTCGATGTCATTATATTGAGAGGCATCTTCTAACAATCTCTCCTCGTGTGTTTCCATTTTGTCTATCCATCTCATGACAGCTGGGTGCCCAGTTATTCGCGGAAACAAATGGAGTGCTACCAAATGGATTCGTGTACAACCTCGGCATGGACAATATTGATTTATACAGTACTGATATGGGCCGTCATGGGAAAGGCTACCCCTGTCATTCAGTCAAAGTAGTGTAAAGACAAATTTTCTTGCAGTTATGAAGTTTCGAATCTGATCTTGTAATTTCCCTACAATGATAACGAAGTGCGCATTAACGTGGTGACAACTGATTTTCCATACTCGAATCCACGAGAAACGAAAAAAAGCGTCTAAGCAATCAGTACTGCAGATAATCAATAGCAACCTCTCATCAGTAGAGCCTTCGTTCAAGACGCAAGTCCTTCGTAAGATTTCCCATCCATGCTGCTGGGAAAAGGTTTTGAGTCAGATCATGAAGGCGATGCCATGGGGGGTCCTGAGAACTGAAGTGCATTTTGGTCGCCGGATTGAATATCTATAGTTGTACACGTATAAGTACCGAGTTCTGTGGCACATTGAGATTCTACTGTAGCGTCCGCGTCTCAGAGTGACTCGATACCAGTCGGCAGTCGCCGTCAAAGCAGCGGTCGAAGGGCGCGCGGGCTCGTCCGCGGGTTGAGCGGGCTTCGAGTGGCCATCTCGGATCGCTGTCGCGCCAGGAGCAGAAAACTCTCGAGGCGCCTCGAAAGTCGCATCAGAGGCCGAAGATCCTCGAGGCCCTTCGCTAGTCGCGCCGGAGCCCGACGACCCCTCGACCTGCCATGGCGGGCGTTGGCGGCGCGTTCGGTGGGAGCCGGTCGCTGCAGCCGGTTCCCCCGGAGAAGGGGGTGTTCCCACTGGATCACTTCGGGGAGTGCAAAGAGGTGCAATTGGGCTATGGGAGCGACAGCCGGGCGTCTCAAATGTGGTTCTTTACTGGCTGATCCAATTTAGAAAGTCAAGGCTTTGTTTTGCTCCTACGCTGGGGTACATGTCTCACTATTGAGTGATTCGGGTCCCCATCTAAGCACGTAGAATATTTGAGGCAAGCTCCCAGGCGGGGTTAGCAGGACACCCAACTGTCTTCCTCCTTAATGGTGGGTCCTGCCTCTCTATTGGGTGATTCAGGTGTGCGAGAGTACATGGCGTGCCGGAAGCACCACAAATATTGTCCCTTTCTCCTTAATTCCCTTTATTTCTTTATGCGGGACGCCTCGTTATTGAGTGATTCAGGTGATGCGCGAGTACATGGAGTGTCTAAAGCAGCACGGCAACCAGTCAGACAAGTGCCGAGACATTGCAAAGAAATACCTCCAATGCCGCATGGACAGGTGAGCTTCCATCCTGCCGCCTTCCAAAGAACTTAAGGAATCGTTGATCTCGAGGTGTCTCCACAGTCGGCAACCTACCGTATCACACATTTTTACTTTTGAGTCGACTCAAAAGTCGCCTCCACAGTTGGCAACCTACCGTATCACACATGTTTTGAGCCATTGCAAAGAAGGACTTCCAGTGCCGCATGTCCTGTCCTTCCTGCCCCCCCTGTCCCCCCTGTCCCCTCTCTTCCCAGTTTCCCCTGTACCATTGCTTCCCTTTCTTTCAACAAACACTCTGCTACCGTATGTCCCACTCACCCTGTGTTCCCCTTGCTTTTTCAATGCCATGCCAGGAACCTCGTGGCCCCTCAGAACCTGTCAGAACTCGGATTTGGCTCAGCACCGGCCACAGGAGAAGCATCATCAGCAGGAAAAGCAACTGCTGGCCAACAGACTGCAGAGGCACCGGCAGCAGCAGCTGCCGCCGAGGATGGTTCGAGTAGCACCACTAATAGACGAGAGGCTCGGGGATTTATTGCTGGAATTAATCCTAAGTAGTAATCTCCTAGAAAATGAATGCTTGATGCTAACGGCCATGAATGAAGGTGTAGGAAGGGAAGGCGCTTCTAGTTGTATACAAAATGGAAAGAAGATATGGGCGTTATCTGAGCCTGATGTGCTTATAATGGTGTGGCATGGCATGGCAGTGGTTTCTGCACAAATGCTGAACCGGCTTAGTGCATCCTGCATATTGCCATTGTGTAATCTCTTCTTGATACCTGTTGTTAATACAACTACATATTCAGATTCTCTCGCCAGCAAATACATTTCATTTTACATTGATAAATCACTTCGCACAACGCACAGGCTACACCAGCCAGCAAGACAGGAACTGATGGCAGGCGTGCAGAATGCAATTCCCTTTTGCAGCTCCAGCAAGGGTTTCTGTATTTGCTTCAAAGGCTCCATATCTCCTTGTGTGGCGCACCATGTGCTTACTTGTGCTGCAGAAGGCACAGAAGGGGGAATATGACATAGGTACATAGAATCACCTTAACATTGGCACCAAATATGAGCACACTGCACATGAGGGCTCTAGGCATGATATGACACGCAATAGGGACAATGATAGAAGCACAACAATTAGGTATTGCAAATCCTCAAAGAGATGAGGATCATAAAAAACAGAGCCAACATGAGCCCTACGAACATGAACACACCCTTGTGACAGACCTTACAGGTGACGTCAAAATTACCATACAAGTACATATATATCAAAATGCAAGTCTACTATAGCCTTAGGAAGCAAAATTTGGACTGCAGCCATACATATGTACATTAACGCACCAAACTGTACCTTGCTGAAGCTGATACACCCTGGAGTAAGTGCGGACGCACTGGCGGCAGCAGTTGAGGCCAAAATAACTATCCCTGGTGTACCAAACTACTGAAATTTTATACAGAACATATTGCTATGAACATAGCATATAAAACGCCAATATTACTGTACCTTGATGAAGCCAATGTCCTTGGAGTAGGTGCGGAAGCACTGGCGGCAGCAGTTGAGGCCATACTTGCGGATCATGCCGTGGCAGTTACCGCACACCCGGCTGCCAACCAGCACAGCGAGACAAGGGAGGGTACGGGACGGAAAGTATAGATCAATGGTAACCTCAAGGAGGTTTCCAGGCACCTCAGAGGTACTTGAAGCACCATGCCGTTGCGGCTACCGCACACCCGGCTGCCAACGAAAGGAGGGAACGTGATCCGAAATGTTCAGGAAGGCGAGGGAGACGAGATGTTCGGGAATTATCCAGAAAAATGAAGATGCGTTAAAGCCTGCTAGGCGATTGAGAAATGGGAGAGGGGTGGGCGACAGCGGAGGCTGTTACTGAGAATAGCGAGGTCGCTGTGTGCACCAGGGGGTGTACCGAATGTCATTTCAGATCCACTAAAGAGCTCACGAGCCTACTAGAGCGCTTATACGATCAGGGATGAATCAATGCTAAGTACGATACCGTATCTTTCCACAACCTTCGAGGGCCAGAAAAAGCCAGTGGTGACCTCTTGGTACCCCTAACGGTAACCTTTCGCACACAGGAACGCGGTAATCCGTGGACAGACGAGCGACCTCCACGTGTATCTATCCTAACCCTAAAAATTAACCCACTCCTTGATATCCTTTGCAAAACGAGCAAAGAAATCAGGCTCACCAGTAACGGGCAAGATCCACGTGTACTCTTCCTACCCTAACTGTAACCCAGAGCGGGGTAACCGGGTAACCTCCACGTGTATTCATCGAACCCTCAAACAAGCCACGCAATACCGACACCGTAACCGACTTTGTAACCCTAACTGACCAGAGACGCGCGCCACGGGAGTGCTTCGGTTGCGAGTTTCAGCGCGCGCCAGGGGAGTGCTTCTTCGGCTGCGAGATCTCAACGCTAAGGGTAAACCACCCTCTCCTGTAACCTTTTACAGCCGCCAAAGGAGGCAACTTCCTCGTGTCTTCATCTAACATTAAGATAACCTACGTACTACCAACCAACACTGTAACCAACACTGTAATCAGCATCGGAACACCGACTTACCAGAGGCGGGCGCCAGGGGAGTGCTTCTTCGGGTGCGAGTTCCAGACCGTCTCGTGACCCATCGTGGCTCGCGGGAATCGACGGCACCGCTGCATACAACACAACAATTCGACGGCACAGACGCAACGACGCGACGTGAGAATACTTCTTTTTGAATGGCGCAACGAATGGCGCGAGAAGCGGCAGATTGCTATTAGATGACAGTGTCACTGCCGCGGCACAATAGACAAGCGGCAGGAACGGTCCAATCGACGCCTAAACCTGCGCAACTCTTAACAGTAGGTGTAAAAGCGATACTAAAGGCCGAACAGCTAAAGGCGGTTCACGACTGAAGTGTCATGTCTGACGGATCGCGCAAGAAACGAACCTTAGGGAGGCAGGGAGAGGCGAGAGTGAGTGTGAGCGGAGAATGCGCGAGCTGAGAGAAGGGAAGAAAGGAGGCGGGCTAGGGTTTTCAGTGGTAGGGGATGGGGTGGAGCAGGAGAAGCACAAAATGTAAGTAATTCTTTGTGTATTCAGCTACCGTTATGACCTGAATGTGTTAGAGTGTACCAGCTTGATGCAGTACTTTGTCCTGTACTGAATGCTCCTTCAGTGCTTTATCGAGGGTAGCAGTGATTGATGATTCCTTTTGCCCTGAAAGGACTTTCTGGGATTCGCGTTGTCGGCTGGTTCGCGGAGGAGCCAAAACTAACACACATTTCAGCTTGTTCTCAACCTGCAAATGAGGGACATTGTGTCACCGCGAATATTAGTATCATAGCTTCTCCATATCGAGGACCCGGGTTTGTGCATGAACGATTCACGTGATGCACACGACCCACTGAACTGACCCTAGTCTGCACAAAACGGAATTCATGAATCATCCTCCTTATAGGACGCGAAGCGCGTCCACCTCAGTGGCTCAGCCACGTGTTATTATTTTTCACGTGCCACGGTTCTGTATGGTGCGTCACGGTTAAGAGCAGAAAAGGTTTGCAACCGTAAAATACCGATTGCGACCGCACTAAATGATCAGTAGTCACCTTGAGGAACCACAAATTTGATGAGCATCTTCTTAGAATTGGACCTACCCAGCAGAGTTGATAAAATTGGTAGCTTGAGTCACATAGCTGACGCATGCATTATCTCGAGCTTGCATAAGGCCTTCCGAGGCGTCGCGCAGGCCTGCTCGAGCGATGAGTGCCGTGCATTCGTCCGCTTTCAGAACGACATTCGTGACGCCTCTACCCTCCTCCTCAGCGTCATACCGTAATCGGGTAACCCTATGTCGCACAGCCACATCACCGTTTTTGCAATCGGAGCCGCGACGCGTCGCGCGGCAAACGCAATGCCGCGCGAATCGCGGCGGAGATATCGCGGACACGGATTGGATGACGAGGACCGATCCCTGGGAGCTGCTAGGCGTCGCGGAAGGGTCCTCCGTCGATGAGATTAAAGCAGCCTTTCGCGCCAAGGCAGGTGATGTGACACGTGGCGTATTGCTGTTGGCGATGAGGTGCCGAGACGATGTATTCGCTCGTTGCTGTCGGATTTGCATCCGTTTACGAATAATATCCGTTTTTTCGAATGGCATTCGTACTACACCAGCATGTCAGGCATTCTTTTCTCAACTGCCATTTCTTTAACGACTAAAAATGAACGGCATCCGTACTCCCCCTCTCCATTCTCAACCGTCAGATCAAGAACGTCCATCCCGACGTGTACCGAGGGGAGTTGGACGCTGAGGCGATCACAACCCGCCTCGTGCTCGCCTATGAGGTGAGCTACCCGCACCCTCACACCTTCCCTCCCTCCCTCTCTCCCTCCCACCCTCCACTCGTGCTCGCATACGAGGTGAGCCGCTCCCCTCCCTCCCACTCTCCACTCGTGCTGGCATATGAGGTGCACCGTTCCCACACTCCCAACCCCCCACACTCCCAACCTCCCACACTCCCACCCTCCCACACTCCCAACCTCCCACACTCCCAACCTCCCACACTCCCACCCTCCCACACTCCCAACCTCCCCCACTCCCACCCTCCCACCCACACTCCCAACCTCCCACACTCCCAACCTCCCACGCTCCCACCCTCCCACACTCCCACACTCCCACACTCCCAACCTCCCACACTCCCACCCTCCCACACACCCAACCTCCCACCCTCTTACCCTTTCACCCTCCCCACCTATTGCGTCCAAAATCTCCACTGTTCCCATTCTTCGCCTTGCACGTTCTCCTCTTTCTCCTCCTCCCTCCTCGCTCCGCCACCCCGCCCGTCGCCCCCACACCCCCCCTCTCCTGTTCTCATGCTGTATTCCCCCCTTCCTCTTGCGCGTGCTCGTTTTTTGAGTCGACTCAAATCACCCCACACCCCCCCTCTCATGTTCTCATGTTGTAATCCCCCGCTCCTCTTGCACATGCTCATTCCCCCCCAGTTGCTTCTAGAGGAGGTGGAGAATCCCAAGGGATGCAGAAGGCAGTTTCGGGCTATTAATACCACCCCCACCCTCCCACCTCCCCTTTCTCATGTTGTATTCCCCCCTTTCTCTTGCACATGCTCAATCCCCCCAGTTGCTTCTAGAGGAGGTGGAGAATCCTACGGGAGGCAGAAGGTGAGCCGATAAGGAGGTGACTTTAGAGCTGACTCAGTCGTTTCTTGCAGTTGCTTCTAGAGAAAATAAAAAACCCTGCGGGAGGCTCCGAGGCAGAAAGTGAGATAACATGCATGGATGTGCCAGAGCTCATGTGCGTCTGTACGCATGCTGACTTTTGAGTCGACTCAAAAGTCGCCTCCGAGGCAGAAAGTGAGATAACATGCATGGATGTGCCAGAGCTCATGTGCGTCTGTACGCATGCTGACTTTTGAGTCGACTCAAAAGTCGCCTCCGAGGCAGAAAGTGAGATAACATGCATGGATGTGCCAGAGCTCATGTGTGTATGAACACATGCGTACACGTGCTTGCATGTGCGCGTGCCCATAACCATGTGGGTTGATGTGCGCGTGCCCATAACCATGTGGGTTGATGTGCAAGTGTGCGACTGTGAGTAAACCAAAATAATGCTTGTGTGCATGTGTGTGTGTCTGCCTATACGCATGTGCTGCCTGTGCGAACCTGTGGGTGCAGATGGAGGAGAGAGGAAGAAGAAGAGGAGGAGGAGGGGGATCTCTGGCCCTGGGTCAACGAAATTCGTTGCCTTGGTCAATGTGAGTCAACGCCAGCTCATCAACCTCCCTCTCGGGTCCTCACTACCTGCTCCTCATCTGCATGCTCCTTCGCCTCTCCTCAGTTCCCCCCTGCTACAGCCTGCCGCTACAGCTGCCCAGTCCGCCTGTTCCCTGTCTACTCCATCACAGCCTGTTACGACAGCTGCACTGTAGTTGCTCTCCTTTGAACTCTCGCAAACACCTCTTTGCCCATTCCCCTTGCTTCCCGCCCACCCTGCTACAACCTTCATCTCTAGCTACACTTGGCAAACACCCTTTTCCGCGTTTGCCTGTTCTCGCTCCTTGACCCGCTACAGCCTGTCACTTCAGCTGCACTGTTGCTGGCCTCGTTTCCTAGTCTCACACACTCCTTCTCCCCCCTTCCCCCCACTCCCCCTGTTTCCCCCTTATGCTACAGCCTGTCGCTCCAGCTGCATAGTGACTGCGCCCTTCCTCTTCTCCTATGTGGAGGATACAGCCAGGGCCCGTGCCATGTCCCCTGATGCCTTCCAAGGTAAATGGTGCTGGTGGGTGCTACAGCCGGTAAGCGCTACAGCCCCTGTCGCTACAGCCTGTCGCTCCAGCTGCATAGTGACAGCGCCCTCCTCTTCTACTTTGCGGAGGACACTGCAAGGGCCCGTGCCATGTCTCCTGACGCATTCCAAGGTGCATGGTGTGGTAAGCGCGACGGCCTGTTTTTGTTACAGCCTGCGGCATGTCTTGCATGTTAGTCAATAGCATTTGCCAGGGCCCATGCCATGTCCCCTAAGACAACATTCCAAGGTAGGTGCTGGTATGCATTACTGGGTGCATTACGTGCTCTCTGATATCACGGCATCGCAATGATATCGGAGAGCATGGTTTCAGGAGAGTGCTTCCCAGGCTTTGTCTCCCTTAGAATGCGTTGCAATGTTAAGAGTTCCCTAAACCATCGCACCTCAAGTGTACACTGTTCTGAGCACAACCAAAAATAGGTTTCTGATGCTGCTTATGTGATGTGTCACTAATGTGCTCTTTATCTGTATTCACTTGATGTTTATATTGCCTCTGTTTCAATCACGTTGCTACTGTGCAGGGTGGACAGTGGGAGGGGAGACTAAGGACAGGGCTCGTTACTGTGTCAACCTGGCTGTGGGGCAATGCCCTGAGCTTTGTATACACTATGTAACATCGGCACAACATGCTGAACTAACTGAAAATCTTCAAGGGTATGTGTTGTTCGTGGTTATTGAGATGTTAGTGTTTTTATTTCTTCTGATTTTGCTCTTCCTCGCATCACCCAAGCACACGCTTTGATCATTTTGTGCCCCTTTTTTATATATATTGTCCTCCTTTCAAAACTTGCGATGCCCACCCTCTCATCCAATGTGCAGGATTGTAGATGGGGTGGTACCCTTGCAAGAAGGTGCTTTTGATATTCAGTCGTACATAGCAAAATCCACGTATGATAACAATCGTCGACCACGATCAAAGAGAAGGCCTAAAGCAGAAGGCGAATATGTGGACTGGTATTAGGAGCTGGTGATTCTTGATTACTGACTCAGTAATTTATGTGAATTGTGTATGTTAGTGTTCTCATTGCATGATGGAGCTACCTGATTCATCAGTCAATAACGCTCAATCTCCTGCGATGCGACGCCGCAATTTGACGTCAACTCATCAGTTCTTGCCTTCCCGCTCGTCCATTCGAAGTCACACGAAAATCCTGGAGATGCTTCGCTGCGACGACCTGACCGACCGTGGTGAATTGCCTCATTCGCACAGCCTTCCCAATCCACCTCAACATTTCCACCTTCGATCACTGATCCATCGGTTTCTCATCCACGTGGCAGAATCTCTGGTCTGCCACTGAGGCAGCAAGGAGCTCGGCGCTCCCGAGAATTTGGGAACTCCAAAGCTAGTTTGGTTCGGAATACAAACAAGTAGGTGAACATGGCTGTCTCATGAGGCTGGCTGGAAACTCAAGTGCTGATTTTTGTTCAGTTGTTGAAGGATTCACTGAATTTCAAGCAATTTAGGGACGTCCTTCGAATCCCCGCAACACAGACAGCCTTGTTGTCAGGCCTGATCAGGCAGTTAGGGTTACTCTGATCCTGCTTGCATCAAAAGGTTTCGGATCAAAATGTCTTATCCCTAATTTGTTATGTTCGCGCCGCTTACGTGTTGAGGGTGACGGCGTAGGTATCGAGAAAGCTGCATTACGTCATCGTGAGCCACATTGACGACAGCGGGTCACTAACTGACATTCATAAGCTAATAACACTGACTGACACTCACAAGCCACTGACTCGTCCGTCGCAGTGGGAGTGAAGGCAAACCCGACAACGTCTGTGCAACATTGCCTACCTCCATTCCCGAGACGTCGAGCCTTCACGACGTATTGCCAGATCCAATGTTGCTGCTGTGCGCTTTATGACACTGCGCTATAGCTGCGATCCAAGCAAATGCGTTACTAGCGAATCGCTACCAGTAACTCACTGCTGGCAATTTGCGCTACTACAGCGCATGCCATCTGACTCAACAGCTGATCGTCACTCGCCAGCTCGTCTTTTGATCCCTAACTCAACACTGTGACTCGTTAAGCAGCGGCTTATAACGGATCCGCCATGGCTGGCAGTATCGTGAACATCCCTGGTATCACCAGCAACGGCAGCACGGCCGCGTTATTCCACCTCATCCTCCCCCAGCGATACGTGATCGTGCTGCTAACGCTGGTCTGCTCCGCCGTGTGCTATATCGAACGCGTGGGGTTCTCTATCGCGTACACGGCGATCGCGATCCGCGAGGGAGTGGATCAAGCGACGAAAGGATGGGTCATGTCGGCATTCTACTACGGATACGCATCATCACAGGTACGCCGCACTCTCTATTCTTGACAGAAAAAAGCTTCCAGCCCTCAATAAAGAGACTCCCACTGTACCCTGGTTTAAAGGGAGGGGATCAAGGGATGGTTCATGTGGGCCTTTTACTACGGATAGGCATCGTCGCAGGTACGCCGCCCCTCTACTCTCTTCCAAAATTCGCCCTTTCTACCCTCTTTCATAAGTCGCCCTCTCTACCCTGGTTTGAAGGGAGAGGATCAAGCGACCAAGGGATGGGTCATGTCGGCCCCGCTGCTCCCTATTTCCTCGCTAATCTTCCCCGTCCTCCCCTCCTTTCCTCTCTCCCTCCCAGGTTCCAGGCAGTTGGGCGTCTCAAAAGTATGGCGGCAGGCGCGTCCTCACATACTCATTTGTAGCCTGGTCCGTTTTATGCGTTCTAACGCCCACCGAGTCACCCCCTGACAGCACCGGCAGCGGCCCCAATACAGTCACACTCGTTATAATCCGCCTGCTAGTAGGCATCGCCCAGGGATTCATATTCCCCGCTATACACACCGTATTGGCTCAGTGGACCCCCCCTCACGAGAAATCCCGTGCAGTGAGTCTGTCTATGTCGGGGATGTATCTAGGAGCAGGCATAGCCATGCAAATACTACCCGGATTAGTAGCTTCTAGAGGGCCCGAGTCGGTGTTCCAATTAGTAGCAGCCATGGGCGTCGCGTGGACTATTTTATGGGTTAAATATGCGACGGATCCGCCTGGGGGGGCGACGGCGTTTGCGCATGTGCCTGTGGGGGGCGGCATGGGGGGGCATAAGGGGAGTGAAGCGGAGCTGCTTCCGCTGGTGAATGGGGATGGGGAGCGGGGGCGGGTAGGCGGAACAGGGATGGAGACTGAGGTGGTGCATAGAATAGGGGGAGGCGGAGGGGGAGGCGCGGGAGGGGGCAATGGGGGGAGTGGCGGAGGTGGAGGAGGCGGGGGGGGGGGGGGGGGAGGGGGACTGAATTCAAGCACAATTTCCGCGTTAGGGCTAGGGGCAAAGGGGGGAAGGGAGGAGAAGGAGGAGGATGAGGAGGAAGAAGAGGAGCAGCAGCGGCTAAAGAGACTCGGTCAAGGCTTCGCCTCAGTACCCAAACACCTCAAGACGTCATACAAGCCGTCGCAACTTAAAGACCCTCCTATTCCCTGGATACCTATCCTCACCAGCGCACCCGTGTGGGCCATAGTAGCTAATAACTTCACCTTCCACTACGCCCTATACGTCCTTATGAACTGGCTTCCTACGTACTTCCACCAGGCTTTAAACACCAGCCTGCACAACGTAGGATCCGGGAAAGCCATGCCTTACTACATAATGACGCTCTTTTCCAACATAGGAGGTGTACTGGCGGATCACTTAATCGCCAAACGGTATCTGACTGTAGGGGGTACAAGAAAGGTCCTCAACACAATCGGATTCTTCGCGTCAGCAGTCGCCCTAGCCCTCACGCCCGTCCTCAAAACCGTCAACGGGGCTGTTCTTTGCTCCTCTCTCACCCTAGGCGCCTGTGCAATCGCCAGGGCAGGGTTTGCAGTGAACCATATGGATATAGCACCGAGGTTTGCAGGGGTGGTGATGGGTGTGTCGAATACAGCAGGGACTATGGCAGGCGTGGTGGGTGTGGCGGCTTCTGGGTTGATTCTAGAGGCGTTTTCAGGGGGAGAGGGGTCAGGAGGAGTGGGGAGCGGTGGAGTGGGTGGTGTGGGAGGAGCAGGAGGGGGAGGGGGAGGAGGAGGGGGGATTGATCCAGGGTGGTGGTGGGTGTTCTTCACGCCAGCATCCCTGTGTGTGGTCAGTGCTTTGATATTCAATGCGTTCGCCACGGGGGAGAGGATCTTTGAGTGACATTCCTATTTGTGAGTGGACTCAGAAATTGAGTGACATTCCTGGCAGAAGAGGTCGGAAATTCTGAGCCGGCTGACTGCCACGGGAGAGAGGGTCTTTGATCTCCTTGTTTACCAGACCAGACCAGCTGCAGTGTGAATGAGCATGGGAGGGGGGGAGGTAGAGGAAGAGGAGGGCGGATTGATCCGGGTGGTGGTGGGTGTTTTTCACACCGGCATGCTTCTGTGTGGTCAGTGGAGTGTTCGTTAACGTGTTTTCCACGCAGGGGAGGGACTTTGAGTGACGTGGCTGGCTAGGCAGCTGGTTGGAAGACAAACGAGTGTGGAAGAGTGGGACGGGGATGGACTGGGGGCGTGGGACTCTGGAGACTGATCGCTGGAAGAGATGGGGTGATGGGCGATTGGGAGTGCTTGCTTGGGTGCCAGCTGCTGGCGAGCTGGTTCCCCAGTGATCAATGCCAAGGCAAGACGATTTGAAGGTTTAGCAGCTGGGGATATTTTGGGGCGCCTCAAAAATCGGGAGTGCTTGGGTGCCAGCTGCTGGCGAACTGATTCCCCAGTGACCAATGCCAGAGGGAAGGGAGACTGGAAGGTCTGGAAGCTGGTGGAAGCGTGAATGCTCTTATGCACTCACACGTATCCTCTCAACCACCGCTAAACAAAAAAACTCTCAATCCGTCTCATTTCATGAGAGGCCTTGGTTGAGATGATACATGGGTGCCGAATCTGTGGCCATGGCACCTTGTGGGATTTGGCTGACTCGAGATGGTTTGGTGGGTGAAAAGGATGGTGGTGGCGTTTTTGGGAATGGTGCCGTCAGCAGCAGCAATGGTGGCAGCAGCAACAACAGCAGCCGCGGCAGCGGCCGTGGCGGCAGCACCAGCACCAGCGGCGGCGGCGGCAGCAGTGTCAGCGGCAGCTGCGGCGGCGGCAACACCATCACCAGCACCACCAACAGCAGGTGAAGAGGCAGCAGAGAGTTGGGCCTCGGCGAATGTAGACGAAAGCTTCTTCAGTCTCAGCAGCAGGAAAGCACGGCGGTCAGCAGAAGCTACACCCTCAGCCATGTTGGAGCCACCTTAAATAATTCTTTAAGAACGGTATATGTCATGCTCATTATTTTGCGGGACGCTACTCAACTCCTAGAACACTACTGGGTGCTCGTCGATTATCATTGCTTATTGGTACTGAACTCCTACAACACTTGTATGTTACAGTATCCCTATCTGCGATGCTCCTCGGGTGCTGTATGTGATAATTGCAAGTGGAACCGTGCGATGTGATATGACTGCCAGCCATGTGCTAGAACTGCCTTGTCTGTTAAGATATGGGAATGCTGCCCTATTGTTGCTAAGCAAGAGCCTATGGATGAACCAGAGCCTATGAGAGAGAGCCTATGACTGAACCGCATAAATCTCTCAGTTTAATGTGGTTTTGGTTGCAAGGTTTCCATCTCTCAGAGTACCAGTTACGCAAGCGAGTCATAACTACCGGTAACAACGTGTCTCCGTGGTGCGACTATTTAATAAAGTAATGGGAGTCACTGTTGAAATTTCTCAATCGTTAATTATGCTGGCAGGCTGAGGTTGAAACAGCAGGTGTGGTTACAGCAGCAGGAATGTGGTTACAGCAGCAGGAATGTGGTTACAGCAGCAGGAATGTGGTTACAGGAGCAGGGGTGTATATACAGTAACAGGGGACTGGTCACAGCAGCAGGGGTGTGGTTACAAGAGCAGGAGTGTGGTTACAGCAGCAGGAGTGTGGTTACAGCAGCAAGGGCGTGGCCACAGCAGCAGGAGTGTGTTTACAGGAGCTGCAATGTGTTTGCAGGAGCAGGAGTGTGGTTACAAGAGCAGGAGTGCACAGAGAGCCAGGCTGATGCAGGCAAGGAAGTGGAAGACGGAAGCAGTGGCTCCTGCAGGGGGTTGGGAGAACCAAGGAGCAGGATTTCAAGGCATCTTCTGGAGTCAACAGGTGGCGCGATGCAAGAGGAGCACGTGCTCCGCACTTTAAGGTCTCGTTCAGATCACTCGAATGCACCGTGCGTGTGTGCGTGCGTGCATATGTGTGCGTGCGTGCATATGTGTGCGTGCGTGCATATGTGTGCGTGCGTGCATATGTGTGCGTGCGTGCATATGTGTGCGTGCGTGCATATGTGTGCGAGGGAGTGCAAGTGTTCGTGCCCCCCGCGCGTTCGTGCGTGCATGGATGCGTGCGTGAACGTACCCCCATACGCGCCAAGAGCAAGACTTTGATGAGGGATAAGAACAGCGTCGCTTCGATACACCACCACCTCGCTGCTGGGACTATCAAACAACACATCCCCACTCTCCACCAACGCCGCTGCATACGGCGTTCCATCATCCACCAGGTGACCATATCTGTTGACAAGCGTGCTTCTCGAGGCGCCTAAAAAATCGCCTCCATTCTCCACCAACGCGGCTGCATACCGCGTTCCATGATCATCTATCACGCGACCATAGCTGCTGATGAGCGTGCGTCTCGGGAACAGCGACTCGCTGGCCTGCTGCTGAGGAGACACTCCCGAGATGTTCCACACGCCGCCATAGCTTGGGTTGTAAGAGATCCAGAGCGGTTGTCCGTGCATGGTCGGAAGCTCCCAATGCCCGTCTATAGATGAGTACTGCCAATGGGTAATGAGTAGCACATGCGCACGGATCACAAGCGGTTGCATGATGAGTAATTCTTCTAAGAACGGTCACCGTGACGAGAACGGAGTTGTAATGAGTCACGGTGACTGTAGTACGACATGGCGTGCGGCGTGACTCACGGGGTACATCGGATTTAGAACGCCACTGTGCAATGCGGCGGTGGAATGCGGCAGCGTTGGGAGGGATGCACTTCGCTCACGTCCCGGAACTTGTTCACTGCGGTCAACCGCGGTCAATTGCGGTCCAGGCATGATATACTGCGGCAGAGTCTCACCTTCTGCATCGCGACGCCGGGCGGGATGTACTGTTTCACAATGTGAAACTTCCAGATATCCTTCATCGCTTCCGCAACCGCCGCAGAGATGTTTTTCCCGACGACACACTGATCTCCTGACGCGCCCCCCTCGAACATGCACGCGAGAGCTTCCGCGACAGCCTGGTCGAACCTGCGCGTCGCGTTGTCGTGCTTGGGTAGGAAGAAGACGCGGCGTATAAGGCGTCGAGCTGTGGGAGGAATATCGTCACGTTGGCGATGTCTTTGGTCCCGTCCAACGCGAATAGATGCTTTATGAGAGAGAAATGAATGTCATATGGCTGCGAGGGTGATTCTAAATCGGTCACGGGAATTGCGCGGGTGGGCGTAGGTAGCTGTGCAAGCGACGCGGCCACGAGCAGCAGTGCCACGCTGGTGGCGCCGAAAAGCTGCTTCGTAAATGAGCGGCTGGCCATTGCGGTTGTCCACGAGAATTATCGCGTGCGCGAATCCCTTACGCACCAGCATCCTTAGGCTAAGGAAAATGTGGATCGAGTCTCTAGCAAGAAGCTAAGAGAGAGAGAGCGAGGTGTCGAATGCTGGTAAGTTGCAACTTAGGCGGGAAATGATTTGACAAGGGCGGTGATCAATACGCCCTACTCCGGGTAGGCCAACTCGGAGAGGGTATGGTTGCACCGACATGCATGTCTTGGTGGGGTGGGGTGGGGCCTTCCCATCCATCCCAACTCCCCCAGTAAATTCCCGCAGGGTACTGCTCAATCTCCCAATTGGCGAACCGCAACAATTACAGACCGCCATGGATTTCTCCGCGCAACTTCGATGGCATGTTACGCGAAGGATCTTCATCAGTTCGTTACAGTTAACATTTTTCTAGAATTCTGAGCACATCACTGTACAGAAAATGCTTGAACGAAAACAATATGAATTGAACATACAGTTGGTACATTCCGCAATCCATTCTAAGCAAGCCTAGCCACATCTCCATGACAAAGAATTTTTGGTCTGAAAAACTCCAGACATTTGCAATCCATGCAGAATGCAGAACAGCTCGGAGAAAAGAAGCGGGCGGACGAACACACTCTAAATCCATACAGCTCAATGCCACACAAGCACAGGTTCCAGACGTTCTGCTTTGCACTTGTGGGGTCCACCAAGCGAACGTGGAAATAATATTATCGGGTGATTGCTTCGAGTAGTATCATCGCATTCAGAAGAAGAATCCATACAATTCTATGCCGCACAAGCACAGGTTCCACGCATTCTGCTTTGCACTTGTGGGGCCCACCAGGCGAATCCGGAAGAATCTCGCCGGGCCAATCACGTCGCACGGTTTGGCAGGTGGCGCACAGGTGTCAACTGGCCAGGAGGCATGCTGCCCTGAGCCAATCACATCACACGTGCTATCAGACAGTTTTTTGGATGGTTTTGTGGGGTTGAGTGAGGTGCAGGTGTCAACTGGCCAGGACGCATACTGGCCCGGGCGGCAGAGGGAGGTGTCATCTGAGTGGCGCCGAAGGCTTGTCCAATCAGATCCGTTGTTGGATGCCTGTGATTGGTTGCAAGAGAAGAAGGGAAGGGAGAAGAAACGCGTAAGGTTTGTTTCACCATTTTGAGCAGTCACATACGAACAGGAAATTGTAGACACCAAAAGTGTTTGTAGTTGGGTGCAGCAATCCTGGTTCACCCTCTTACCTCACACCCTCTCACACCCTCTCACACTCTCTCCCCCCTTCTCACATCACACCCTCTCACATCACACCCTCTCACACCCTCTCACATTATTCTCTCTCACACCACACCCTCTCACACCCTCTTACACCACACTCTCTCACACCCTCTCACACCACACCCTCTCACACCACACTCTCTCACACCCTCTCATACCACACTTCTCCCTGCATCACACAACCCACCTCTCAACCACCTACCTCAAGGCACCATGAGCGCATGTAGTTGGGGCTGCCGCCCTGCTGAGCACGCAGTAAGATACGTCTCAACAATTTCCAATCCCTCTCAACCCTTCTCAATCCCTCCTCAACCACAGCACCCACCTCAAGGCACCAGGAGCGCATGTAGTTGGGACTGCCGTCCTGCCGAACCGTGTAGAAGTTGCAGAGAAGCTGCGGAGGAGGGGAGGAGGTGGGGAGAGCGGGGAGGGGAAATGAATGAAACAAAGAGACAGGAACATGAGAGCAGTGGGACGAGGGGGGACGGGAGAAAAGAAATGCGAGATAGGGGAAACGAATGAGAGAAGCAAAAAACAGAGAGCCCTGCGCATATGCATTTCAAAAAGGACAAATTGCAGCAACTCAAGAGCATGCCTTGTTTTCCCATTTCAAAGCACTCCTAACAACTCCCTCACCCTCACCTTGTGCTTCTCCCCCAGATCGATGCTCCACCACGCCGTCAAACAGCCTCCCTCCACAAAAGGCCCGGCAAAGGACGAGCTCTGAAGGAGTGGGGTTGGGTGTGGAAGGGTTGTGTGAGGGGGAAATAGAAGGCCTTTCAGTCAATCTAAAATGGTTGTGGGGGTAGAGGGATAGGAGTAAGAAACGAACAGCCCTCCTCCACACAAGGCCCGGCAAAGGACGAGCTCTGCAGGGGTGGAGTTGGGTACGGAAGGGTTGTGGAGGGAGGAGAAGGAAGGAGAAAAACGAGTAAGAAATGAGCAGCCCCCTTCCACACAAGGCCCGGCAAAGGACGAGCACTGCAGGGGTGGTGCTTGGGCATATAAGAACCGCACTTCACCGCATTGCACACCCCACTCACCACCACATAGTCCCCCGAGACTATGACCTTGCCATCAGTGTAGCGCGGGGAAGGGCTGCTGGCTGCCACTAAGAGGGCGAGAGAACCACATGCTAGGCACCAGCATTGCACAGCACCGCATGGCACCGCACTAAACCGCATTCAACCACACTCTACCACACACACTCACCACATAGTCTCCCGAGACTATGACCTTGCCATCGGTGTAGCGCGAGGGGGGGCTGCTGGCTGCCACTGAAAGGGTCTGGGAGGGAAGGGAGAGGGGTGGGTGCAAGGTAAACGGGCACGGGAGAGGGGGGGGTTATGAGGCGAATGGAAGAAGGAGGGGAGGGAGTAAGGGGGCGGGTTGGGGTAGCAGCACACACCGTTCGTATCTTTGTTGTGGCACGCATGCACTGTAGCGAAGCTTTTGAGACGTCTCAAAAGAAGCTACATGCTGTAACAGATAACTCACCCCTAGGAGCACGGGATTCATCCAAGGGTGTCGTCCATGCGAGGTACCCGCATGGAAACACACGCCGCCGTTCCTATCCCCGTTGTGCATGCATAGAAGTAAAGCTACATGCTGCAGAAAGTCACTCACCCCCAGGAGCACCGGATTCATCCAGGGGTGTCGTCCATACGAGGTACCCGCATGGAAGCACACACCATTCTTATCCCCATCGTGCATGTACTGCAGCACACGAGGAGCGCTCGAGACACCCGCCAACAGCCGTTCAGCAGCCAGAAGATTTTGCTTGAGTAGCTGCTGACTCAACCGAGGACCACCGGCCTTTCGCGATATGCCAAACCCTCTGGAAGCATCACTCCTCTCCCTCCCCCTCCGCCCATCTTCAACTCCTGCCATCAGCGTTCCCTCCCTCTCTGTACAGTCACCAACTCCCCCCCCTCCTAATGCTCTGGATATAGTCACTCTTTCCCGTTCGATATAGTCACACTTCATCCCCTCCTCTCGGCTTGCAGTGTCTGCTACCCCCGCTGTTATTCCACCCGCCTCCATCCTGTCACTAGCGGCCAAAGAAACCCGACCAGGCAGCATGGATTCGTCCCGACATGTCAACCCCCTCCCTGTCGACCTTTGCTTGTCAGTTGTCTTCTCTTCCACACGATTCTCGTCACCCGTTCTCTTCAGCCCTCGCTCCTCCGCTCGTTCCTCCCCTCCCTCCACACTTTGCATTAACCCCCCAACCACAATTCCCCCCTCTCCCCCTTCTCCCACCTCACTCCCCTCTCTGCCCTCTCCCCCTTCACAGTCTCTTCTCTCTTCCAACTTGTGAGCCGTCTCAAGACTCTCCCCTGCTCTCTTCCTCCACCCACTTGCTCCGTCTTGCCTTCCCTGAACCTCCCTGTTTCGCCACCGTCCCCCTTCTCCCCCATCTTCCACCTCAGCACCTCCTTCCTCCCCCGAGTTTTCAAATATTTTGAAACTCTCCCCCCTTCTTTTTCCCCTCTGACCCTCCCCTTCCATCTCGCCCCACCGCTCTCCATCCCCTTCCATCCCTCCCTTTCCTACTACCTCCCTATCTACCCATCTCAACCCACCACTTCTAGGTCTCTGAAAATCCGCATCCCCTCTTTCATGCATCTCACCCCCATCCCTTGCTGCATACGTGTGTGCCTCAGCACCCCTCTCTCTTGCCACGCACCCCTCTCCACCGCTTTCAAGGGACCACGCCCGCGGCACAGCAGCAGCCGAGCCTGACGGCCAGGCTCTGGACGGGAGGTCCGGGGAAGCGAAGCGGACGATCCGACGGCCGAGATCTACCTGGATATCATCTGACTGAATCGAACCTAACCTTATAGAATTGGCCTGCGGTTGGTGGCCCAAGAGGGAGAGACTTGAAGCCTGCCCATAATAATCTGGGGGAGAGAAACTGTGAGAGAGATTGCCAGAGAGACTGTGGGAAAATGTCTCGGGAAGGCTGTGTAAATAACTGTCGCTCCTTTGTGACTCAGATGACTCAGAAGCTGAGAGGCGGTATGTGGCAAAAGAGGAGGAGGAGGAGGAGGAGGAGGAGGAGGAGGAGGAGGAGGAGGAGGAGGAGGAGGAGGAGGAGGAGGAGGAGGAGGAGGAGGAGGAGGAGGAGGGATGGCCTTGCGATTCCCTGGGTGCGTTGGTGTGTGGGTTGCGACGCGCAATTTCCTTGATGGCCTGAAGGGGAGAGAGAAGGAGAACAAGGGGGAGAGAAGTGGGGAGAAGGAGGGAGAAGGGGAGAGGAACGGGGGGGGAGGAGAGAGAGGATGGGCAAAGGGCATAAGGGAGATGAGGGACAACACACAGAGAAAAAAAGGCTGACAAGACTGAAATTGGAAAGGAAAGCGACTAACACAAGCCCCGGAGCGAAAGAGGTGATGCCACGTGGCAAAAAAGGCACGTACATATCGGCGAATGGTGGGCAGCCACGTGGCAAGCAGGCTGTCTCTGAGCCTGACGAGGAGCGAATCAGGGAGCGACATGAACTGCACGTGCTGCAGCAACCCAGAAACTTCGTCGTCCTCCTCCTCCTCTCCTCCTTCATCTTCATTGTCGTCCTCCTCTTCTTCCCATTTTCCCTCTTCATCCTTCACCTGTTGTAGCATGGGCTCAGCCCCTTCCAACTGTAACCGACCCAAAAGCTCAGCTTGAAGAATATCCTCGATATAAGGACTCCCTTCCCTTCTCTCTTCCCCTTTCACCCACATACCGTTCCTCCTCCTCCCATCAATCCTAACTTCCTTACCCTCAACCTTCTTGTCCTCCCCCCATCCCTCCTCCCCAGCTTTCTCCTCCTCGTCCCCTCCTTCCTCCCCCTCCTCCTTCCCCCCATCCTCCCCTTCATCCCACTTTTCCTCCTCCTCTCTCATCATCATTTCCCCCAATACTCGTTCCGCTTCCTCCCAGCTGCTGACGTCAGCACGCTGCATGGCCCACGTCAGCACGGCATCGAGAACTCTCTCCTCATTGGCCACCCAAAAAAAGGGGCTCTGGTAACCATACACGTGGTAACCAAACGGGTGGTAATCGTGATGTTGGTAGATCAAAATGAAACAGACAGACAGGGAAGGGAGGGCAAGCACGGGTTTGGGTGTCAAAAAGATATAATAAAAAAGAAATGTTTTTGAAAAAAAAAAAAAAAAAAAAAAAAACAGTGGTATAAGCGCAATAAGCACAACTTACCTGCAGCACAGCAGCGAGAGCAGGAGCAGGCAGCCTTCTCAGACCATCCCCATCGGCATTGGCGCACCGTTCAAACTGCGCCGCGGCCAATGAGGCGGCGACAGCTGTCAGGTGCGAGCAGGCTTCCCCTGGAACTGACAAAGCAACTCGTAGCGTGGTGAATGCTGATGACTGGATGGAGAGAGAGGGAGGAGGGGGGTCGGGAGAGAGCAGTGGTTTAAAGGGAGGAAGGGTACAAGCAGGTTTTTCCAGGCACAGCAGCGACAGCAGTAAGGGGAAGGGATGGTATAATTGTGACAGATAGCATCTCACTGACCTCATCAACACATGCTAGCAGCCGTTGGTTCACTGCATGGTACAGTGCTGGGATGCAGAAGCGGTCAGCCAGACACAGCAGCGAGAGCAACACGCCCTGAGTACTCTCAGGTGCTGCTGCTGTCGAAGATTGTGACTGTGATGAGGGTGCATGTAATGGTGGCGACTGTAGTGGGGGTGACTGTAATTGGGGTGGCTGTACTGGGGGCGACTGCAACGGTGGTGACTGTGCTGGGTGTGACTGTATCAGGTGTTTGCAGAGTGCACGTGATGAGCGCACAGGGGGGAGCTGTCCGGAATAGAAAAAGTGCAGGAGAGCGACGACAGCTTCATTAGAAGCACCTCCGATTACAATCTCGTGCGAGGTGGCCTCCCGCATTCCACTTGTCAGCATCTGATTGAAAGAGAGAAGACGGGGATGGAAGGATGTTAAGAAAGACCTACTCCTTAGTACGAAATTTAGTGCTACAAGCACAGAGAGCTGGCGTAAAGGGAGCAGGGAGCACGAGAAAATATTCACCTTGTGAAAGGCCGCACTCCAGGCACAGAGCACCACTCGGTGTGCTCGAAACACAGTGCTGCCAGGCTGTGCCGCCCGCACGCTCACGTCACTGTAGCTGCTGCAATCATGAGTGTGAGCGTGAGTGTATCCGCCATCATGGCTAGCAGGTGAGGCTCTTAGACTCGCCTCTCTCGCCTCTGTTGACTCTCTCAACTCTTTTGCCTCTGTTGACTTTATTGACTCAGAAAACATGCTCATGTCACCGCTACCGCAGCAGTCGCATCGCAGGTATCGAGAAAGACGGCACGGTGTATTGGACGACAGAAAATGGAGCGGAAGGCCCATTGCTTCCACGGGTGCTACTACTGCTGAACCTGAACCTGAACCTGAACCTGAACCTGAACTTGAACCTGAACCTGAACTTGAACCTGAGCCTATATCAGAACCTGGACCTGAACTTGCGGTTACACCTGCTTCTGTGTTTCCACCTGAATATCCACCAGAACGAGCACCTGAGCTTGCACCATCTCCTTGCCTCACCCCCCTGCTCGTCTGCTCCCCTCCACACGGCCCTTGAGAGCACTGTTCCTGTGAAGCCGATTGATCACCACTTCTTAAGGCCGATTGTTCCTGCTGCTGACTCCTGATGACTGGGTAGCACAGACACACAAGCCCGTTGACCTGCGTTGACTTTGGAACCCCAGTTGACTTGGCTGACTTGGCTGGATTCCCCCTCCTGGCAGCTGTAGAATTGGGGGTAGCATTTTCAGCAGAGCCGCCCCTCTCTGCTGCTACAGCCGGAGAGGCGCCCAGTGCTACAGGCTCTTCTGTAGCAGAGGATCTCCCAGCACTTTGTCCGGATACAGAGTATCTGCCCATGTAAGCAGGTGCAGATGCAGAGTATCTGGACGGAATGGATCCAGATACAGATGCATGTGGACGGATTCCAGGCGCCTCATGATCCATGCCATGCTCCAGCAGTGCTGCTTCGCACGCCCGGTGCAATTCCTGCGCCCCTAGCTCGTGTGCAAGAGAGAGGAGGGGGTGGACGAGCGCGGGGGGTACCTGAAAAGGGAGGAAGAAGAAAGAAAGAGGAGAAGACAGCATGAGGAAGAGGATCTAATGAAGAGCAGAGAAGGAGGACTGAGACGCCTCACGAGCAGAAAGAGATCAACGCAGACAGGCACAGCACAACTGACTTTCACTTGGGAGCGGAGGTAGAGAGGAGAGGAAAGAGAGGAGAGGGGAAATGAGAGAGATCGAAGAGGAAAGAGCGGAGAGAGAGAAGGGAGAAGCATCACCACAAGACTTCCCAAGTCGTGGATTCTGAGGAGCAGCAGAAAGCGATCGGGTCAACGTGAGGCAGGGAGACCACAGGCAGCTTCTCTTGCGAGCGGCAAGAGGGAGGAGAGAGCAGAGAGGGGAGAGGGATGGAGATAGGGCAGAAGCATCACCTCAACTTGGCCCATGTAGTAGAATCGGAGGAGCAGCAGAAAGAGATTGGGGTCAACGAGAGGCAGGGAGACCACAGGTATCTTCTCTTGAGGAAGAGACCGGTATCTTCTCACTTCCACCCTCTGTAGTGACCCAGCGGGTGGAAGTGAGATGGGTGCTGCTGCTGCGGCCCGTACTGCTGCTGCTGCTGCTGCTGCTGCTGTTGCTGCTGCTGCTGCCGGTACTGCTGCTGCTGTCGGCGATCTTCCATCACCTCCATCATCCCTCCCTAACACGCTATCCCCCCCGTTCGACCCTTCAACAGCCATATTGGCACCATTATTCCCTGGAACCCCTCCCACCGGCAACGCAACACACTCCTCAGGCCCATAGCGTGTGCACAAGGCCTCGAAGCCCGCCCATGCTGCAGCCAGCACCACTCTGTGAGCCGGAAACAAGCGACGGGAGGAGGAACGGGGAACGGGGGTGCTCCCTGCATTCTCCGCAGCCATTGTAGCTCCTATCCCTCTGACTTCCCTGCCCGCAGCAACGCCAGCACTGGCAGCATTGGCAGCATTAGCACCACCAGAACCAGCAGCAGCACCAGCACCACTAACAACACCAGCAGCGCCAGCACTAGCAGCGCCAGTACCACCATCTTCCCCAACAGCAAAAACAATGTCTGAAAACTCGGACGAGTTGACCAGAGACGCCCAGAATCCACGTGGCGATGAGCCATTGGTGCTGTCAAGATTGACTCGGTTACAACTGGGGTGACTGGCGGTGATGGTGCCACTTCCGCTGCCATATAGACTCTCACTGCTAGGATCTAGATGCCTCTCGCTGCTGCTACAGCTGCTGCTGCTGCTGCTGTGAATCAAACAGCCTTCTCTGCCTCTTCCACCCATACTTTCCCATACAGACCTAGGTATCCTCACATGTGGTAACACACGGATGTTCCTATATCCAACGTGCTTATCCCACGTGCTCAGCCCGACGAACCTAACGTCCAGGTTCGGGTTGCGGTCCTTGTATAAGAGTACCATCCGCCTGCCAGGCTCGGCACCCAAGCCTACAGCGATCTGGCCATCCACCACGTTTATCCAGAAGGCTCTAAATTCCGACGGGGCGATCGCCATGTGGGGCCCACCGTCGTCTACAGTATCTACACCGCTATAATGATCTACAGTACGATCACTTTTAGAACCTAAAAGCCTTGCAACGGATTGAAACGGCAAGTGAGCGAAGCTAGTCAAACTACCATGGCTGGCACACGTTAAGCACGTGCAATACGATCTGCTTATGCTGCTGCAGCTGCTGATCTCGCCGCTTCTACCGCAGCCGCTGCCGCAGCTGCCGCCGATGCTGCTGTTGGAACCAATCCTGTTCTTCCACGTGGCAGTCCGTCCGCCAACACCAGACTGCAAGCACTCAAAATTAGTAGTTTCAGCCACAGCTACCCCATCAACCTCCAGCTTTAGCCGCCTGTTCCTATGGCTGCCGAACACGACCGTGTAATTCCGACCCGCGTCCGTCCGATAGTGCCGGCTCCCGTCGCGCGTGTCTTTAATCACCACCGTCGCGTCGTTCTCGCCGCGCACCTCCAGGACCACGCACCCGCGGCCCGGGCGGCCGAACTGCAGGCCGGCGCCGTCCAGCCACGCGCACTCGAACGGCGGCACGACGACGACGCTGTTAGGCGCCACGCGGACAGCCGTCGCAGACATGGCGAATATTAAGAGTTTATTTGTAAACTACCGGTTTACCCACGCGCAGCCAGTACGACGACGATGACGGCTACCAAGTAGCCGTGTAATCGGTCTCTCAATGATTCCGTTATGGAATATTCCGTACCACGTTACTTGCCTGTAAAAAACGCGCGAGAGTTCGACGTGAAGGAGTTTCGCGAGTATGCGGGTTTAGAACAGTTAAGAGGGTAACCGCGGCTCGTACTTACTCGATTTTCAGCTCTGTGAGTACTTACGTTACGAACACGGTGAATAGGACGTGGAACCTGGGTCAAGGTTCATGTATTTTAATGCTTAACAACTCTCAACGTAACCGTTTAGTCCGTAGTACGCCCGAAGGTACGTCGATCCATGCTCGTTTCCCTAAACGCTCGCTTATGACTCCTGACGCCTGGTCCGGACTTGCCTGGTTTTGGCGGGCAAACTTCAAGGCAAAAAAGTATGTCAGTCAGTCTCGAGGTCCATATGGCAATCTCAAGGTGCCGCACTTGCCACTGCTGTTGCTTTTTAGTTCCCTCCTGACCTGAGTCACATCCCAAAGGTGAGAGGAGGGAGAGGGTGATGGAATTATCATCGTTTATGGATTTCCCGATAGCATGAGATCACGCTTTCGACAGATGATAACATGTTGATACTGCTAAACTGTATGTAGTGCCTTTAGCGATGACCTGGCATGACAGGGATGACACATGAACCATGAGCTAGTTGGCGGGGTAGTGATTTGGCAAGCAATGATGTGTCGCACGGTGCCATGAAACATGGAACGAGGCGACGGAACATGGATGTAACATCGTATTCTGCGCAATAACTTCGCCTAAAAGGTTACAAGTTACAAAGTACACTTATTTGTAGTCAACCATGTTTCAGACCCTCAAAGATATAGAACACGTAAAATCGCCAGCTCGCAAAAACCCTGCCGTCGAGGGCACCGTAACACCTGCGACTCGCCACGGAGCATCAGCAATATCTCCTGAAGCATATCACCTTCGCCAGAAACTTGCTCAAATTCATTTGGCTCCTTTCTCCCCCGTCCCCCGCGCCAAATCACACGGGTCCCATCCATCACCATCTCTCGTTGACCAGTGCCACAGTGGAGAGGGTGGAGAACACCGCCTGAGGTTCGTTGGTTCATGTACCACAATTCAGACAGGTGGTTCACGTTTCAAAACGGTGACGTGAAACGAACCCTCCAAATTTCCCCGCATCGTACTCGACCGTTTTACCAAACTCGTCAATTCTTGTGATGGGATGTGTGGCATCTCCCCCTTCACCACCACTCCCTCCCCTTCCTGCTGCTCCTTTCTACAGCCACATACATTGCCTGCCCACCTGTCTGAGGTGGGACAAAATAACCTCGCTTGATTTGCGCTACGCCTGAACTTGGTTGTTCAAGTTTCGTTCGAAGGCCGATTGAAGGAGAAACATCGAAACTGAACTGTACTGCTACGCGTAGGAGAGGATCCCACTTACGATTTCAACATCTTGGACTTCGCATAGGCAAACGACCGCAGTAACTACAGTAGTGCCCCGCGTAGGCGAGAGAGTTATTGAACAACTCGCACCATGGCTCGAAAGGTTCTCCTCTCCGTCCTCGCCCTTCTCGCTCTCTCAACAACATTCTCGCTCCCTCGCACCGCACTAGTCGCCGCCGTCTCAGACAGACGGCAGCTGGCGACACCGGCTGCCGACAGCTTTCAGCTGACCGGCGACTCCGGCCTTCACGACGGCGAGGATGACGGTTTAGACGACAAGGCGCTGCTGAGACTGTCTGAGGCGGAACAGGCAGACTTCCTGCGGCAGTCCGCGGCAGAAGAGTCCGACTTCCTGCAGTACGATTCCGAAAGCGCGCCGATTCAGCCGAACGACGCGCAGCGCGCGGCCCTTCTCTCGCTCAAGACCGCCTGGGGCTCCGATTTTTTCAGGGCGGAGACGTGGTCAGATGCGGAAGGGGAGCACCAGTGGTGGGGGGTTACTGTAGACTCTGACGGCGACGTCGTGGCCTTGGAGTTGCCGAACGCAAATCTGGAAGGCGAAATTCCCCAGGAGCTGACGAAGCTTCATGATCTCGCGACGCTGGATTTGCGCGGGAACAAGCTTAGTGGAAGCATCCCTACAGGAATATTTTCCAACTTGACGTCGCTGCAGGAGATCTACTTGAGCGATAACTTGTTGCAAGGGAAAGTTCCCTGGATCGAGTTTTTCTACTCCAGTGACTCCAAGGTGTCGACTCTCCGTCTTGATGGGAATAAGTTTTCGGGAAAGATTCGTCCCAAGGCTTTCGATAACGCGACGTCGCTGCAGGCTCTCTTTTTGGGCAACAACAAGTTCTACGGGAAGATCCCGAGGAGTCTCGGTAGCTGCAAAGAAATTTCCGTCATCGATTTGAAGAACAACGAGTTTTCGGATCTGATGCCGACTACTATCGCGGATCTTTCCGGTCTTGAAGTCTTGGACGTTAGCGGGAACAAGCTGACCGGACCGATTCCCAACTTCCTCGGGCGACTCCCCAGTTTAGTCAACCTCGACTTAAGCAATAATAAGTTTTCTGGCCTTGTACCGGATTCATTCAAACTGTTTTCGCACAAGGCGCGCGCGGTGAAAATTGGAGACAACTTTCTGACTGGGCCTCTGCCTCAGTTTCCCCGTTTTTCTAAAGGCTGCGGCATTAACGGTGTAGGAGGCTTGGACACCACATCGTGTTACATGCTTCGGTCTCTTCTGGATTTCGAGGGCAACTTCTTTTACGGAAATTACTCGCTGGACATTCAGCTGCCCGGCTCGGAAAATCTTCCTGCCATGTCAACAGTCTGCCCGTACGAGTATCCTGAAAGCATCTACGTGAACGATAACTGCCTGAGTTCCACGGATTCATGCGAAGTGGAGAAGCAGCGGCCACCTAAGGAGTGCGATGAGTTTTGCGGGACCGGCAGTCCCGAGGGGCAGTGCGGGGGCAAGGGTGTGTGTGTGCTGAATCACTTGGAGGGGAGTGAGCCGAAGTTCGTGTGTGAGTGTGAAGCGGGATTTCTTCCCATGGGCAACCCTTCGACTTGCGTGAAGGTTTGATGGGGGATGCGGGAAGATAAGGGTGGTGGTGGAAATGGGGTGTCTGTGAGATGTGCGTGGGAAGGGTGTGTGTGGGAGGGCTTGGTCTGGTGTCATGACTTCCAGGGCTTATTGGATGTTTGAGACTCCAATGGAGGAGATGTGGATGATTGAAGCGAGTGGCATCTAGTTTTCGGATGCCCATAACACATTGTGTGCATACAGAGTTCCCAAGTGTGTCTGTGCATTCAGAATCTTGGGCTTTTGTGCTGTATTATGGAGAAATTAGGATGACATGTACGGCGATCTGTTATTGCATGATAAATGCTGTAAATCAGCTGCACATCTTTCTGTATATGCGTGTCAGGTGAGCTAACACTTACTGTGGGAAATTTTAGAGAATTTGACTGTAGCCCGAGGGGGCAGTATAGCGCGCAGCAACGGCCCTTTCCTCGGAGCTTGTTCCATGTCCACCCAGTGCTGCTGTTTCATTGGTCCGAACTTCCCGCTCGAGGTTGTTCCATTCCCTGTACAGTGCATACGCGTTTTGGAGCAACAAGATCCTCAAAGGAATATTGTCAACGAGCACGCCATCGCCAAGCCAAGTTGGAGGGACAAACCTCCTCCATTCAAGTAGAGAATGCTTGTTTGTAATGAAGCTGGTGAAGCTGTTTTGGTGGGTGCTTCGATTCGACTAGTGTCAGGAGTCAGGACTCCATGAT